ATACCTGAATTTTAAATCAATTCAGGATGGCCGTACACACTGTTCAATTAGCCTACAAAAATCAGTTTTGTCCACTGACCGACTCAGTTATCCCTGTCACGAGTAAATTCAACGATTTTTAACGATCAATATCGCAACAATGTATAAGAATATTTTTCGATTAATTATATAACGGAAATATACCATGGTTATTTTAGTTACCACTAATTGTTTCCTATATATCAGTAAATGCCACGCGGGCCATAGATAATGACACAGCGGGTTACATGTGGCACGCGGGCCCAGGTTTAGACCACCCTGTTCTAAGTGATCATAAAAAATAACAAGGCAATGAAACACATTCATCGTTATTTTCTATGTCATATGAATTTATCTAAATTATACTCTTATATGCACTCATACAGCCTAAAAGTAGCAAGAAGGAACTGATTGCCTTAGCAAAAAAGGCTAGGAGCAAAATACATGATCCCATGTATAGCGAAGAGGTATCGAAACGAGACAAGAATAAAATTATTTCCAAAGAGAAAAAAATATTAAATGGCGCATGGGTAAGAGTAAATTTTTGTATCCTCATCTCATTTTTATATATCAATATGTTTATATGCTTTTTAGGGATTCCCTTGAAACAAAATCGTTCTAGCAACTGGAGCCTTAAATACTTCACAGAAATTGTGCTGCTTATGCTGATTTGCTGCAGTTTTACGTGCCGCTTTCCATTATTTCTCATCCACTCAGTTAAATTTGAAAAAAAAAAAAAAAAATTTTATTTGTAAATAATTTTATAGTTATAGATAATCTCATATGCGACATTTATGAAATAAAATACCAATCACGCATACATTTAATTACTAATATTGTATTTTGCAGACCTTTTATATATATTCTGTAGTAAGTCATACTATATAGAATATTGAAATTTTATTTTTTTACGTAGTAACATTTGATTTTTTTACGTTTCTTTCAGACAAACCGAAACGCTGAGAAAGAACTACGGGATTTAAAGACTTTCTGTAAAGAGATTTTTGGATCCATCGACTATAATGCTGATCCTAAAAGAAAAGACACTAGGAGGCGTTGGTACTATTGAACGATTTTGTACCAATTTGAACTTAACAACTGCGCGTATTAAGCAGAAACAATATATTTGTACATGACGTATAAAGCAGACGACGATATAAACTATACCATAATGACCAAATACAAACGTTAAAAGCTGTAAGGCGTTGACATCATATGGCAATAATGCTTATATTATGTTAAATTTTGATAATATAAACACGAATAAATGGTTTGTGCACTACATGATTTCAAAATAAGTACTCTATGATCCAGGAAACTTTTTCCGTCTCAATTACGTGAGGTTTAACGACTAACCATCTGGGCTAAGTTTTTTATATTGTATGTTTACAATTTAAGCTTAAACCCTTATTTCTTTGACCAAATTCAGGGTTGGCCAAAAATGGGTACTCCCGTAGTATGTGTACCAGGTTAGGGTTAGGGCATACTTTTATTCCGGTTTTTCTTATTTTAGTTCTATTACGAGTTCGAGGACAGTGTGTGTTAGCCAAGTGAATACACCCCCAGCCCATAGTAACTAGGGCTTGTTACACAGCTTGACATTTTAACATATTTTGGACAACACGGTATTTAAAAATATTCAACTGTTTATTTCAACAATTTAATGTTTTGTTCATTAAACATCGTTTCGTGTAAATTTATATTTTTGATAATGCTGTCTATGTCATATTAGAATTATCATATGCGGTATATATTGTATATAAGGTTATTATTATGATTATTATTATTATTAGAACTGTGTTCCAGAATATATAATTTGAATGATTATGGTTGACTAATATAGATGTAATAAATTCTTTCCAAATTATGATTTCTGGTATTTGTTTCTTGTCTGGTCTGATAGAAGATGGATTTAAGCGACGTAACTGCACAGACGTTTGATATATATATATATATATATATTATAAATTGAACATTTTATAATTGTACGATGGAATTAAAAAGAGTATAAATCGATGGTGAGATGAATGTTTCTAATATTGAATAATAAACAGAGACATAAGCTTATTTTAGCAAATAAGATAAAATTTGAAAATTAGTGTGAAACATTAGATTTTTCGGAATTAGCTAGAATAAATAGACAGCCTATGGAAACGTTTGTTTGGTTCGGTGGAATAGCCACTAACAATCGCTTTCAACATAAAAATCCGTTAAATACGGTATTGATTATCGCAGCCAAAAGCCCGTTGCTGGGCACGCCATATTGGTTTACTGTGTATGCTTAGTCAGCATTATTTCGCAATTCTTTGTTGTCATTGAGGCATATCCTTCTTACAGATGTCGCTGTTAAGTCATATAATACGATGTAATCATTGTAGTATCTAGGTGTTTATTTCGATTTTATTTTGTTCTTACTCTGTATGATCGAGTTTAATTAGGTAAATATCTAATACTCCATAGTTATTATGACATCCTGTATTTTATTTTTCAAACTTTGTTTTCCTTTTTGTGATTGAGGCTAATTAAGTTAATGTTTAGGTAAATTTTCGTGGTCATTGTGGCATTCTTTTTGTTGTCCCTTTTATATATATGATTGTGTCGAATTTAGTGACTATTTAATATTGAGTTGTTCGGTTGCTATATTTGCTGCTTCAATGCAGCTACAAGGTGTCGCTGACTGGATGACTCTTTGAGTCTTTCGCGATGCCTCGTCTATTGCAACAAGCCGATATCTGTCTTCGTAATTTGTTATATGTCTTTTTTTATTTTTTCATATCGTATATTGGTTTTGCATGACGAAAATAAAATCTGAATCTGAATCTGGAATAGAAAACCACAAATTTCGATTATTCATAAGTATCAAATCACTAAAATAACAGCGCTGACTTCGCAATTGGAGCCCAACTTCCGAAGTCTTACTCGACACAGCAAGCATGTCCCTTAGTAGAGATGTTTGCTGAGAACAATGATACAAAATAAATTGTGTGTGTCTGACGCCACTTTTCAAGGTAATGACACATTACTTTATGAATACTGAAAATGGCGAAAATGTATACTAAACTGCCGGCTGTTTGTAAAGTATATTGCGATGATATCTGGCTCATTTGCGCTTGATCATGTCTTACTTTCCAAGGCAGTTTCATTGAGAAATGATGTGTTTCAAAAACAGCAATACGATAAATTATACTTCTAAGGCAACCTTTCCGCGTAATAATTCTTTACCTTCGAGGTCACGAAGTACCGATAATATACACTAAATATATCAAAAAACAGCTGTTTGTTTGGTCAGTTGTCCCATTATTCATTTTACAGTGCTAGTGCAAAAGCAAATACGTACGGAAAAAAGTGTTCAAAAACATTTCATATATAAACATATTTTTACTTTTACCTTTTAAAGAAAAACTTATATTTTATGTTACCGGTCGTGTTAAGAATGTTGGATACATGCATATGTAGCAGTACTTGCATTATAAATATGAATCAAATTGCAACGTATCTCGTGGTACAAACTAGACATAACATTTGGCACAGTTTCCTTAAGTATAAATGGGTAAAACTGCCATGAATGAAAAATAAGTAGAAGGGCGCAACAAGCAGTCCGTAGGATTGTCCAGTTTGGATGGATCGACTTTCGGACAAAATTAGCTTTGAGAAGTTTGCTCTTGTTTTGGAGTATTGAACAATGTTGTGGGTGGTAGTTTCAATACTCATACTTTTCGTAAAATGTCTTCAATCTCCCGATGTATGAGTGACTTATCAGCACGTACGTCGGAAAATTTTATGTAGGCCAATTAACCGCGTTTCGTCCAACGTAATGACCTGAAGCAAACTAATATTGTCGGACACAACAAACCACAGAAATGATTGAAATGTTACAGGCCCTGTGCCCTCTCGGAGGTAATTTGATACCTGAACCATTCGCGAATCATTGTAAGCTTATCAAAATGACAAATTCCTGAACAAGGACTATTTTTATTTATCACGTCGAATAATAAAGCAATTAAGAGATAAATCGTGCTCACCCAAATACCAGGTCTGTTTGCCTAACAAACAAACGTTAACCTGTTAGGAAGAATTTTAAATGTCTTATTTTTGTAAGTTGCAGGGTATGCAGTATCTGGAACACATCTATCCAACGAAACATACTATGGAGGTTTGTTGTTCCATATATGGTAGATTTATAAGTCGCATAATGGCTGGTATTAAATTAGAATTGCCCTCTATACACGAATGTTTGCTGCCCGTGCGTATGAAATGGTTGCCAATAAATAATGATCGTAAATGATTTTTTAAAGTATAAGGTTATTCGAGAGTTATGTTTGACTCATGTGTGGAAAGCATGAGGGATTCGACAACTGGCAGGTTGCGCCAAACAATGTTACGCGTGAGTGCATTATTGTTATAGAATGATACTTGTTAGAATTGAATGGGTTTGATAGTTCCCTTTTATTGAAAGGCTCGATTTTCGTTTGATATGGCTCATATACCTTTTTATTTTAAAGTGTTTTACCAAGTCAGACTATAGACTAGGGTTGACGAAATCAAACGTATTTCAACTGCAGAATTTAGGTCATAAGTTTCAAGGTATGTTTGGAAAGAACTTTGAGATTAAAAAAAGTTAAATGCATGTTAGGTCAGTCACAGGAATTTGATTTATCATTATAATTCAACATGACATCCCGTCCATCTTCAATCCAGTTATTTTTTTGCGGTGGTCCCTTCTCAAAAATAGATTATTTTTCATTCCGTGTGGGGTTATCTGCTAACAGTCAGGATCTTATTCACCGGATATTTTTGGTACAACAGTGATGCATAATCTTCTTGTACCGTCTGATTTTCAATACTTGCTACCCCAGTTTTAAAAAATATTAGGATTTAACCAGAGACAAACTTTGAAAAATCTGGTTGAATAAGTATATTGTATTATATATGAGTTGTGTTTTATCATTATTTTCACAAATTATACCTTGCATACCTATTGAAGTATTGTTATAGAGCTTTATATTTACCCATGGCTGCTATAGGAATTGATTTGGGAACTACAAATTCTTGTGTCGCTGTTTACCGGAACAAGCGAGTAAGTATTTAAGCTCTACGTGGTATTTGTATAGTTAGTTGAATGGGTTGATTAACAGCTCTGCACAGATTGAATGAGCATAAAATTATGATTGAACATACTATAGATATATTGAATAGAATACGGAATACGTTACCAATTGAGTTTCAAAAAATAATACAACGGGCATATTGATTCACGTTGAACACACCCCTGCCAGCTGTCCAATTTCATTAGAATTTCCATATATAATATTAGGTAAAATAGTGATGCCTCAAATATTTATTTCATGAAAAATTAAATTATGGAATTTAAGGAATATCAACAAGACATCTGCCTTTTGTTAGGCAAACTGTGAACCCGATTTTGTCTTGGGCGTGGGTATGGGCAATCGGACGTATATTTGATTTTGACAGAAATTTGTAAGTGCGATAATGGATATTTCCCTCAGAATGTGTGTTAACTGTGTGATTGCTGCATACTTGTGTTGAACTTTGATCAATCCATTTCCGAGGCGTTCACTCAAGGAGATAAATTATTTAATATTAAATCTAAAATCATTATTTTTTCCACCAAACATTTTTAAATTTTAAGGTCGAAATCATAGCAAATGATCAAGGAAAGCGAATAACACCTTCATGGGTTTCATTTACGGATACACAGAGATTGATTGGGGAGGCAGCAAAAGACGAAGCAATATTGAATTGCGAAAATACTCTATTCCGTGAGATTAAACTTTATAACAAAAAAAAATTGTATTGTATTCTAAGTTATGTGCATTGGGAATATTAGAATATTATTAATTCATAAATTGGCTTCTGGGCTATAGAACGCAAAATAAATCAATTGGGAAATCAATTTTTGTTTTATTCTTGGAATAGGTTTCGAATGAGCAAGGAGTATCAAAAACAATGTAGTATACGGCGTGGTTATACAGTAATTTTATATTTCTAAAATGCTTTGAGTGCTATTCGTTTGAACGATTAAACCAAAGCAGTTACTACCTCTTATATTGTTAAACTCGCAACCAAATACGATAAAAAAAATTATTTTAGCATATTTTTTACTCGCCTCTTTTATGAGAGTTTGTCAAACAATTTAGACAATTTATTTAATTTTTGAAAACAATTTTATCTAAGTTTTTTAATCCATGTATTTTATTTTCTCGAAAAAAATTACATACTTAATGTGTAATTGCTAACTTTGCAAGGCGTGTTTGTAAAAACTCTATATGAAAAATGTCACGTGAACACACACAGGGTCTATGTTGGTATTAAAACGCAATGATAACTGGTGAAATCTAGATGGAAGCTAATACAGGGATAAATTGAATATGTTTTTTCATATATTATTTCATATTTTAACAACTTGGTGTTACCTTTTCAGATATCAAACGATTAATCGGCAAAAAGTTTAATGATTTGACCGTTCAGGAAGATATGAAACTGTGGGGGTTTAAAGTCGTCAATGACGGTGGCAGCCCAAAAGTGCAGGTTATATATGTTGATTATATTTAGATATGAAAAGATAAAAATATGTTTATGGGTCTATCTTATGCATTATTTATACATCACAAACAACTTTTGTACGTATTTATGATATCTGGAACGGATATTAAATGAAATCAAATCTGGTATAGGTTTAACTCGTTTTGTTTTATATAGGTAACATACAATAAAGAAACTAGAACGTTTTATCCCGAGGAAATTAGCGCCCTGGTTCTGACAGAATTAAAGGAAGCAGCTGAGGCATTTATGGGCGAGAAAATCACTGACGCTGTCATCACTGTCCCAGCCCACTTTAACGATGATCAACGTACAGCCACTAGAGATGCAGCAAGAATTGCTGGTTTGAATGTGCAATCAATGATCACTGAACCGACAGCAGCTGCAATTGCATACGGTCTGGAAAGCAAAGTGAGTGGTAGCGTTATTTATCACAAGTCGATTATTTTCAATATTTCAATAATATAATACTAGAAACTACGTATTTTAAAGTTCAAACACAATAACATTCGATTCCGACTGCAATGTTATTAGTTCATATCAGGGAGGTCCAAAGTTGTCGGCCTCACTGGCTGGCCACACTAATATTTTTGTATTGTTCGCGGGCCACAATAGTGCCAAGAATAAGTAAACAGTCCGATACCAAACAAACACTTTTCTTGTGCAAACATATTGATCATTATTTGTCATTTATCAAGCTAAAACATGCAAAAACAACAAAAATACTCACTAAAATGTGCAAAAATCTTACTGTATCTACATTTAGTATAAGATTTCAAACTAATAACGGAGAAAGTTCCATAAAGAGAAAATGCCGTTTTAGATTGTCTGTTTGAATTGGTCAACTTTCTTTTCAAACTCATGTTTACAAAATAACTTACAAATTACTGCAGGTTGATTGATTGACGAATTTTATCAAGTTTGAAATACAAAAAGTTAAATATTGAATTTTCTGACCTATACGCAGCATTTTTGTTGTACTGTTTACGCAGGTTGCTAAAAACAACCCGGTAGGAATTATATTGTTCGGCATTCACATTAATAATTAGTTATGAGGCATAAGCATAACCAACACTGGGTAATAGATTTCTCATTCGATAATATTTTTATGAAGCACATTTTGTTAGCATATATTCCCGACAAAAAATTCATAATGCACTAAAGTAAATCAACTTCATATCAAATTATGTGTGTAATTAAATTTTTCAGACCAATGACGCACGAAATGTTTTAATATTTGATCTTGGTGGGGGAACATTCGATGTAACTATCGCAACAATCGCAGAACAAATATTTGATGTCAAAGCAACTGGTGGGAACTCTCATTTAGGCGGTGAGTTTTATCGTGCTACACGCAGAATTGACTGTATTTACACCATTTTTTTATATAGTAAGCAAACATAAAACCTAGTATATTTGAAAATAATACTTTTTTTAGAACATGCTGATACCGTAATGTAAAATTATGCCACAGTGTGCATTTCTGATTTATACATAATTTTACGGTAATATTTACATTTTGTGCTGTCCAAAATATTGGTTTCAGTATGGCGATGTTGAATTATATTTCATATAATGAAAATGTTACAATGATTTATAATTTGTTTCTACATGAGTGTGTTTTGGAAATTACGAACGATTATGAGGTTTGCGAAAAAAAAAAAAAAAAAAAATAAGTAAACGCATAAAATGACCCAATATGAGAAATTATTTTTTTACAGGTGAAGATTTTGACAATCGTATGGTTAAACACTTCATTGAAGAGTTCAGCAAAAAACACGGGTTTGACATGACGAATAACAAACGAGCTGTTAGTCGTATGAAAGTTGCGTGTGAAGCTGCCAAACGAAGACTTTCTGTTTCTACCAATGCAAAGTATGCAGAAGATATCTTTGATTTATTTGATTGGAAAAGTATTTCTAAATTTTATCCACAGAATCTTAAATATTTATAACGCTTTTCAGAGTCCAGATTGACGCCCTTTTCAAGGGCCTGGATTTTCAAAGCAGTATAACTCGAGCCCAATTCGAAGCCATGAATGTCGAACTATTTGAAAGCACTCTCATGGCCGTGAAAAATGTTCTTTTAGAAGCAGAAATGAATAAAAATGAGGTAAATAAGAAGTAATCAATCACAGAACTGTTGTTGTCTTTTTTGTTTGGGCAGAACAAAAATTCTAGCTAATAGTTTAATGAGATGCCATATATATTCATACAGGTCATTTTAAATAGAAGAAAAAAAAAGACAAAAAGAACATATCCAGTCAAAATTGTTTATTTTATTTTCGTATCAATCATTTAGGCATATAAGCAAACATTTTTTTTTGTAAAATTGATTTATTTGTAATATTTTATCATTTTTCAATATTCATCAATATTTTTATATGAGAAATATGTATAGCTATTAGTATCATAACATCAATTAATCATTTTGAATTTTCAGATTGATGATATCGTTCTTGTAGGGGGATCCACTCGGATTGTCAAAATCCAAAAACTTTTGCATGACTTCTTCACTGGAAAAGAGATGTACAAAACAATAAATCCAGATGAAGCTATTGCATATGGTGCTGCAGCATTAGCAAATGAAATTAGAAATGGAGAATCTAACATGGTGAGGTACATTTTATGTGAAAACAGAATCATTCTGACTGAACATAATTTTAATACCAAAGCAGAGAGTTATTTTCGTATTTCGATTATAAAAAAAATCATAAAACCACAAAAATGTATCAACAAATTATATTTTCATATATTATATAAAATGTTTTTAACCAATATTTATTCAATTAGAGCAATATTCAAATCGATGTATTTTCTAGAAAAAAATTGTTCCGCGTTATCGCTATTTCACGCATAATAAAAATCGTATTTAGCATTAAATACAAAGACTTGTAATTCAACATTTCAAACGCTTTAGCGCAGGGGTATGCTCAACAATTTGGTTATTGATCTTTTAAATAGATTTGTTATCTTTGCGCAAGCTAGTTTCAGTGCATTGTAACGTCACATGGATTTATAATAAATCGGACTCTGGTATAGGATTTGCAACGCTAAGAGATTGGCATTGTTAGCTCGTACCGGATCAAAATACATCATTAAGCATACCGGTAGTCACTTCTCCGCGGGACCAACAATATTTCGTTCACAGGTGTCACTCCTCTTCTTTAGAGTATTGCTTCAACCAAAATTACATTTTTTTATTGTCTTACATTTAATTTTTCAAATAATATTGTCAAATCAAACTATAAAACAACCTGAAGTTTTTTTTTAATATTGGGTTGAGCAAAAATAATTAAACAATGTTTACTAAACTAAGACAGAAATGGTGCGAATAACTAGAAACGCGACGTATTTGTTGTAAATTCCTTTATTGATTTAATAATACTATTTGGTTCTGGTTTAAGTAAACCTTTTGTATTTTTTTCAAATGCAATTATTTAGTGATGATGACCTTCAATTATTAATGCTATTTTTCAGACTAAAGAGGTATTAAAATTTGCTAAACACGATGAGGTCCTCAGGAAGGAAAGAAAAGCAAGAAATAATCTCGGGAAATTTGCTTTCTATACAAAGAAAAAAGTTTATGCTGCAAAATACAAAGACAAGTTAACTTTCACAGACAAGCAAAAAATTTTTGATGAGTGTGATCGAGTCATAAAATGGCTGGAAACAAATAGAGTGAGTATTCGATTGATTAAAAACATGATGACTAAAATAAATGTAGTTATGTAACGTTTCTTCCAACATTGCGGTAAACTGCTTCTCTGGGGAAATCAGATTTAGGCCGGATGAAACTTTACGGAAATACATTTGCGTTAGCGTGCAGCAGGACTCATGAAATCGCATAGAATATTGTGTTTATTCCTTCTACATCATCCTTGCAGTATACGCATGTACGAATCACCTAACGGCATAGTGTAAGAAAATGAAGTTAGTCACAAACAACTCAAAGTTATGAATAGCCTTTCATATTCGCCACAAAAATGATGCCACAAAAAAAATCCACGTTTTTTATTTCACACTAACCTGAAACCGGGTATACTAATTTGTTGCTGTGAGATGCAAAGACAGAATTCATGCACATGGATGTTTTTTGCCTTGATATAATGATTTACAGTATAATATATATTTTTTTTTTATTTCAAAGCGGAAAGAAGTAGTAGAAGCAAAACAAAAAGAACTGGAGCAATATTGCAAAACGATCTTTGATGAAGCGTCATCACCACAGGTCAAAATTAAATAATTTTATTAGGGCGTGATTCTCTACAGTCTACATTACTATTGTAAATTATATATTTTTATTATATTGTTAAGATGTTTAAATACTGACTCAGCGTTGTTAATTTAAGTTGGCACTATTACAAATCTAATACTAAAAATTAAGCGATCGGAAATATCCATTTTGTCCGTACAAATATCAAATAATTCGGCATGGCTACTTAAGTATTCCTTAGTTTCGAGGTGATTAGAAAGTTGCAGACGCCTAGACTGCAATGTCATTTAAGCATGTCTTACCGACAATTTTCTAAACATAATGGTTTTTGTAACAAATGAGCTAATTTTACATCAATGATATATATCGGTTACAATGGAATTTGATAGTGGATGTTACTCATTCAGACGTTTCCTTAAATTTATTTTATTGAATATTTTTTAGGTTTTTTAATAAAAAATGCAAAAAAGTAAAGCAATATCAACACAGTTACCTTGTAATTTAATATCCAAATACAGGCAAGATTACAACGTGTAAACATTAATTGTCATCTTAGACTGCTCTATATAATATTGTGAAAGTGATTTTATATTTGATCTTTTCAGTCAACGCATTCGAATAAATCAACTCAAGAAGATCAGAAGAAATTTAACGCAATCAACGAGCTTCGAAAGTATGTTCAGATTGTTCAAGCCCATTCCGTATTTGGGGAGCATAAGAAATTTATGACGTCGGAAATCAAAACGAAAATAGATTCCAGATGTCTTGAAATTGAGCAGTTTTTTGACAGAAGTCAGGTACATTTTACTGGCAATATATCTGTGTTATTCTTCAGTTATATTCTACATATGGAAATGTCGTTTATTCATTGTAAATAAGGTGGTCGATTTATATCCTTTATTCAATGAAATGTAAAATTAAAGATAAATTTGTATTCCTAGTTTATTGTTTTATGCAAAATTTTTAGGATATGGAAGTCAAAAAGATAAATTGCAAAAAAATAGAATTAGAAATATTTGTGGAAAGTATACTGTACAGATTACAGCATAACCAGGTAAATAGCATTTTGAATAGTTTGAAATTTTTTTTATTAAAATAATATAGGAAGCTGCAAATGTCAAATTGTTCAACAAAATATGTTTCACTTTTTTTCAATTTTTTTTTAAATTTTTTTCAAAACTTTTCATTTTAATATTGTGTGTTCCACCAGATAATAATTAAGATAATGAAATTAATTTCGAAATAATAGAAAAGGTTCATGAAAGCAAAATAATTTTAACAAGTTTTAATTTCAAATAAGATATTTTTATTAACAAATTTATAATTTTCTATCATTGTTTTGCCAGATCTTGACATATATGCATATGAGAAACAAAACAAATTTCTGAAATATTATAACTTTAGAAAGTAAATTAAACATATATTTGGATGATCCGTCTACACTCTACAGGAAGTTGACAAAAAGAAGAACGACGAGTACGTAAAACTTCGCGAATATGTTTCTTATCTCCGGCAGTCAGGGGAAGCACAAAAACCTGACAATTTGACATTTCAGTACATGAATGACATTAAATATGAATGCGATGAAGTGGAACAATGGATTGAAATAAATAAAGTAAGCTTAAAATACTAAATATTAAATATTCCTTCTTCAACCTATTATTTAGAATCCGATATAACTTGAAATGTGATGTAACAAGAGAGCATAGATCTCCAGTCTATCAAATAAATAGCTAGAGCTAGCCATTTGCCAATTTTTATTTTTGAGATTAATTGTTAATTGTGCGTTTGGCCTGATTAATTCGGCATAGCATGTGAGTAATCTTTCTGTGTTTAAACCCTCACACCAAATGTTGTTACGCATATTATAAGTTGCGAAGACTTTGCGGAAACAGAATTTTTTTTTAATTATAGTTGTTCCTTAGGTGTTGTTGGTGCAGGGCCTTGTTCGAAGTGAAAAATATTAATAGCGCATTATATAAACAGTTACTAGATTAGAATGTAGATTTAATGATTTTGTTGATATATTGTCATATACAATGAAACAAATAGAAAGTCAGTCTGTTAATAAGCTGTCTTGCTCTATTCCGTCTTTACAGAATTCTGTTTCAGTGGAAATAATCAAATCCAGACACAAGGAACTTCAAGTATGTGTTGATAAAATTAAACGAAGATATGAAGAATTACAAAAGGTTACAGTAATGTTAAAATTACAAGGATTTGTAAAACTTTGTAACAGATTTGAACCAATTTATTGGTTTTAATTATCGATTTCTTTCAATTTTTGCCTATATTTCATGAAGTACTGATAAAACCAATGGCTAATATGTAATATAATATTTTGTTATTGACAACAGTGATTTTCCAATAATAAAACATCGGTCATAAAATTTACTTCTAGGTATTATTCATATTATAAACACAAATATTTGTTTCTTTCTTTATGCTCTTGCATGCGCCATCGGATATTCATAAAGATTTCTAAAAATAATGAAACTGTTGTTACAGATTAAAAAAGTTGAACGCGATGAGTCTTACAGTAATTTATATAATCACTAGGCTAACACAGACAGTCCCCGAACTCGTAATAGTACTAAAATAAGAAAAATCGAAGTAATATTTTGGCCTAACCCTTGCCTGGTACACATACTACATGAGTACCTAAAATACAGTGAATTGGGAAAAAGCATTTGCAAACGGCATTGTACATAACGAAAACGTCATTTTTCTCATTAAGATGAGTTTCATTTAAGTTTGTAAGTAAAGTAATTGGATAATTAAAAGAAATTCTGATAAATGTATGATAATTTTACATTTTTCCTAAACTATTTTCATTCAATTGCAAATAAAATCCAGGAAATTTTAAATCAATGGAATAAAGAAATGACAAATATTCGAAACTTCATAGCTTCAGTTCGTCAATCTATCAAGTCTGACAAAAGGGACAGTTTAACATTGCAGTTTGTCAACAATACTGAATTAGAAATCCGAAAAATTGAAAGGTTGCTTCGAAATAATTCTGTAAGTTTATAAATGAGGCAAATTTAAAAGTGAGTTTTCGCATTTTAAATGAATAAATTTACAATTCCTACAAATCATGATAAAATATTCAATTATATTTTTGTAAGCATATAAGCAATAAACAAAAAATAAGCCGATTATTTTTACTTAATAATATTGCGTTCTATTATAAAGCATCGGGGAGAGTGGAAATCTAACTTTCTAAATCAGAGAAGTCGACCGCTGTAAATTATTAGTTATTAATACATACCGCATCACTGTGTAAATACTAATGTCAATTTATATAGATAAAACTTAATAGTCACAATAACTTGTATTCTCAGCGCCAAATACCTGCTGAAATGATAATATCTCAACATGAAACATTGAGGATAACTCTGGCAAAAATTAAACAGAGCTATGAAAACCAGAAGAAGGTTTGCAAATAACAAATTTGGTTTTATTCATCTATAATTTTTATTTGATAAGATGCGGATTGATATGATTCGATTGGTCATATAAGGAACAATAACAAAATTATCAAATTAATTTATATGAAGAATTAAGAACAATATATTGTATATGGCGTTAATTTTATTTGTGTATAACTGCATTATAGAATATTCTGTGCTTAATTAAAATCCAGGAAAATGAAAGATTATGAAATGACGAATATGCAAATCTTCGTAACTATATCACATCAATGCGCCAAACAATATTTGGTGATCAGAAACACAAATTAACATCAACATTCATCGATGCTGTAAATAACGAATGTGATTATAGAGGGGTGTCAAAATGGCCATTGATCAGCCGATTACATTAAAAACAAGAACAAAATTTTCGTATTAAGTTGCCTGAGTGTTTAATATCGAATAGATTGTGCATAGCATTAACTATAGTTGTATATAGCTATGTTATAAAATCTTCCACTCAATTAAGACCCAGGACAATGAAAAAAGTCTGAAAAAAAGTCGATTAATGTCTGATTTTGTGATATAAATATACTGTAGTAGTATAATCACAAGACAGAACGTATTCCAGATATCTGGACGAATTGTGAAGAAAATGAATAATGACAAGAATCTCTTTAAAATAATGCATATTCATAATTCGTACTAATCAAATTAGACTTAGAATTAGAATCAACAATTGGGTACTTTTATGTTATAACTCTTTCTGTTCAATTACGGCTGAATTTTAGGAAATTTCAAAACAATGGGATGAAGAAAATGCAAATCTTCAAAACTTTATTGCCACAGTTCGACAATCTATCGAAACAGACGAAGTTGATAGTTTAACATTGCAGTTTGTCAGCGATACCAAATCAGAAGTTCGAAAAGTTGAAAGATGGCTCAACACTTATTCTGTAAGTTCATATTTGAGGCAAACTGAATGGTGATTTTATTGTATTTTTAATTGATACAAATATTAATCTAATGTTCAATTATATTTTTGTAAACATGTAAACATAAAACATACAATACGCCAAATATTTTTATTTAATAACATTTGGTTTTATAAAGCATCGGCGAGGGTGAAAGCCTATCTTTCTAAATCACGGAAGGCGACCGCTCTAAATATAGCGCATCACTTTTTACACACTATTGTAAATTTATATAAAATTTATTATTCACAATAACTTGTATTCTCAGCGACAAATACCTGCTGAAATGATTATATCTCAACACGAAACATTGAAGGCAACTCTGGAAGAAATCAAACAGAGCTATGAAAACCAGAAAAAGGTTTGCAAATAATTAATTTGGTTTTAATCATCTATAATTTTCATTTGCCAAGATGTGGATTGGTATGATTGGATTGGTCATATTAAAATCAATAACAAAATGTCAAATTATTTTACATGAATGATTGAAAATATACTGTATAAAGCGTTATTATATTTGTGAACAACTGCATTATAGAATATTCTGTACCTAATTAAAATCCAGGAAAATGAAAAAAGATGGAATGACGAATATGCAAATCTCCGCAACTATATCAGATCAGTGCGCCAAACAATAACTGGTGACCAGAAGGACAAATTAAAATCAAGATTCATTAATGCTGTAAATAACGAATGTGATAAGGCAGAAGAGTGGCTTCAAGCTAATTCGGTATTGAGTTTATTTTAAATGCAATTGCAATGTTTTTAAACTTATGCAAGTAAATCGAACCTTATAATACAGTTAAGAAAAAATTGGTCGATAGTTTCTGTCTGTCTGTCTGTCTGTCTGTCTGTCTGTTAGATGCACGCGATATCTCTCGAAAGCGAGATTGGATCTGCTGCAGATTTTGCATGTGCATTCATCATATCTCGTACCAGAAGCCTATTGATTTTGGGCGAATTATGTCGTATAATTAGCGATTTATCACTTAATTAGTAATGGGACACAAGGTGTCACTATGGAGTAAGAGCGCTATTTTGGGGGATCCCTAACTTTCGATCGATAAGTCTTCGGTCTCTGACCGATATTCTCGTTTTTCTATTTGTTCTGATTTATTCAAAAATATGCGAACAATATCTTACAATGATATATCAACTTTAAATAAACGCATCCGTCCATATTAGTTCGTGGAGAAGATTGTCTCAGCGGTAATAATAACAACAATATAAACTCCAACATCAAGAAGAAAAATTATCAAAAATGTCCTAAAAGTAACTTTCAGGTAATTTTCATCTGACAAATAAACTTTGTGTATTCATTTTCAGATTGATATTACTATTGACATGATTATATCCACAAGAACCGAATTGAGACTGAGCATTGAAAAATTCAAGCTGGAATTTAAAAAATCGAAGACGGTTTATAAATATTCTTTAATTTAATTCACTTACAAGCATAATATACTTATACTGGTAAACTGGTACTCGTACTGGTGTCGTACGCACAACAATTTAAATTGTCTGTTTGCAAATCCTAAATATATAAGTATCTCAGTTAGAGTATGGATTCCTGACGGCCGCATAAATGCTGGAAAAATATCGAGTACAAGCATCTGTTTCATAATAACTCAATATTAATTAAAACTTATAGCCTGATAATTTACTTGTAAATAATTTGAAAATGTTTCAAAAAGGAAAAACTTGTCAAATTTTGATAAAAATGTGTGGATTAGGGCCAAATTGAATTTATCATAAATCAAATTTTGTTTTGACGCCTCTGGACATGCATGCGTAAGATTAATTTAAGGTTTCGCATTTTTTCCTTTTTTAGGTTTTTTTTTCCTTCAAGTTTTTATTTAATGCCTAATTTATCTTTTTAAAGACGAAAAAAGAGGAAGAAAAACGACGCCATAAAGCATACGATGAGTTAAACTCTTACATACAGCGAGTGGTTGACTATGTTGATTCCGAAATAGGAAAGAATTATTTATCTGATCAATATTTTGAAAAAATGAAGCAGAAGAGTTTGGAGTTGAAAACATGGATTAACACTCAATACGTACGAGATAGCCATTTTATATATTTTGTGTTGGAGTTTTTAGCCATAAACCTTTTGCTTTTCAATAACCTTTTTCACAAACATATAATACTTGTTATTACATTATTTTGCCAAATAAAACAGTTGTAAATGATAGGAAAAATAACATACATTTTTATTTCCAAATGTGATCACCTTATTTTCAGTTTGATATCGACCCAGAGGAAATATATTCAAAAACAGATAGACTGAAGATGGATGTCAAAAATATTCTTAATGACTTAAATGAAAGAAAAAAGGTGAAATGTTGAAATATATCCATAACTGCTAACTTAAGTAAGGTTTTAAGAAATAATTTTTATGAATTTTTCAAAGTATGATACTTCGGTGATTTGCTATCAATATATCTATATTTATATCTAATATATATATTAGTATTTATTTAATATCGTATTATTAATTTTTATTCTAAAAATGTCATCACTTGGATTGAAAAAACGGGATTTAACCAAATATATAAAATATCAATATATTACTCTCAATGTTTTTAAAGACTGATGAGACTGAAAAATTATCCACTATCAAAAAGGAAACAGCTATCAACAATTTCACAAATTGTATATCTGATGTTGAAACTTGGCGATTTTTCGATCCGTATACACTAAAGTTGACTTTGTCTGATAAAAGAAAAATTGAAGAAAGATGCAAATATTGGAATCAGTGGCTCTCTGAATCTTCCGTATGTTTATATTGTGAATTTTATAAAAATTTGCACTAAAATATACTAATTTTCCAATTGCATAAATAGCTCTATTGCTTGCTTTTCAAAGAATTTTCAATTTTCTAATTAGTGCAAAGATTACTAACACTGTATTTTTAGATATGGTTGTTTTTGCGTTTTGCGCAAAGGCAATGTTCATGATGTACGGGATATTGCGTTTCAATTAGTTCTAATTTAGTAATTTGCAAAATTACTAAGGATAACAATTTCCATTAATTATACAGAGAAATTTTTCACTGGATCACATAGAGGCATATCACACTGAATTTGAAGAGCTTGCTCAAATGGTTCTTAGAAGATTACGTGAACGACAGCGGGTAGGATTCTTAATGAGTAAACATATCGAAAAAATTGCATAAATGTATAAATTATTATGAAAACATAAAAAATAAAATAATAATAAGATCATATATTTATTTATATCATTTATTTACTTTGATAAAAGAAAAATTGTTTTTGGCGTAACTGATAATTACGATTAATCAAAAGTTTTATTAACTATTATGAATATAATGAATATATTATTACGTTCAAGACTTCGTTTTTTTTTTTATCTGAGCAATAACCCTATAACTTTTGACTTTTAACATCGGATAATCAAAACTACCTAAAACAAGTAATTTTCAGAAATAGAATAAAAAAATATATTGAACGTTTTATTAGATCGCCGGAAGGAAGCAAAGACGAAAATCATTAAAAGAAGCAGCAGAAAATCTTGAAAGTTATATCGAAGATGTTAAACAATTTTTGTGGTCAGAGAAATATAAAGATTTGATTTCGGAAAATGACAAAAAGTGGATTTATAACGCGTGCTATCAGGCAGATGTAATGGTTTCAAATTACCAGGTACTGAAATTTAAATACTGACTGATATTGTAAATTCATGGCAAAAACTTTCTGCAATTACGAAGACTTATCTCAAAACTGGGTCCCTTCATATTGGCAATTCAGAATGTAGGTGTTTTCTTGGCTTCATGCAATCACGTAATGCCAACATTAATAATGCTAGCTCTGTTAAATGAACTCTCAGAATTAACAGTCAATAGTTGGAAATCCAGTTTACGACCAAAAACACGTTTATGTGCGCGCCTGGTTGCTCTAAAATCAAGAACATATTTTTGCTTTTCGATGATAACGTCACGGAATCCAAAGATTCGATTCTAGTCTATCTTTTATTACTCCGATTTTCCGAATCAGACAAATAATCCCTAATATCCTTAATATATACCCAAGAATGAAATAAAATACACTAAAAGACTTGGTGTTTATTTTTATGATACTTTGTAATTTCAGAGTTACGGATTAGCGGATATAGTAAGCAGTCACATAGAATTACAGGAATCTGTATCTAAATTATGTGACGAATTGAATCAGAAGAAAATGGCAAGAACACTTTATTATGTCCATTTTAAAGTTCCTTAGACATACAAATTATATTAAAATAAATCGAACTTTTATATTGCCTAGCACATTCATTCACATTACCACGTATTGATGAAAATAATATACTATATTAATTAAGGTACAAATAGAAACAGAAAGAAGACGACGTCACGATGCCAAAGTAAAAGTCTACAATTACATAAAACATGTCAGATCCGTTTTGACTCCAAATAGATGCAATAGGAAAAAAGTACCACAATCTCTGACATATTGTGAGGAAGCTGAAAGGTGGCTCCATGTTTATCGTGCTGTAAGATTTACTTTTGTATATTTGATGTAAATATGTAGAAATTTGTAGAACGGATTTACACATAACAGCACATAGTAACTCAGTATATCGAAAAATCGTATAATATTGAATAGTACACTTCTCATGACTTTGGTTACAAAATTGTCTGAACAATAAATAATTATGGTGGCATTCCAAAAAAAAATTTTTGAAAAAAATTTCTTTATAAAATGTTCGACTACAGTTTTGTCTTTGTCATATTTACATATCTTCTTCTGATTCGCGTCCTAATTATAGCGTAATGTTTACAGTCAAAAATATATTTCCATGTTATTCACGCATAAGTATTTTAACACTATTTTTGGTTTTCTTCGGAAGACTCTATCAGCAGAAGACATTATAGAAATTTATGAAAATATTTCCACATATTTTGAAAATGATTGTCGCAAACATCACATAAAGTTTCAGGTATAGTTGAGCGTGTGTTCTAAATTTTAATTGTTATAGCTTACATAATATTACTGAAATTTTGCTTGAAAACATTAGATCATTTAGCTGTCTTTTTCGAGATTGTTTAAAAACTTTTAATGTATCTTTTAGTTATTTTGTTATTTTTATTTTTAAGAAGCTTTTGATGCTGATGCGAATTTGTTCGTATGAGTTCATTATTGCAAACTTCTATATTTACACAAAATTCTGTATTGTGATGCAAACCTATTTAGTTGCATGATTGGGATATAAAATTATAAACTTTCTTAAATTAACCCAATTTTGGGTACTTAGGACGTGTCAAAAACGACCAAAACAGTCTGAACCTAGCAAATATTTACTTGAACGTGCAAAAATACAATAAAACCGTTAGAACTCTCAAAAACTAACTAAACCCTTATCTTCGTATTTTCTATTGGTTTTAAGATTTGAAAATTATTGTAATATATTGTAATTCAGAGAACAACGGGAAAAAAAATATTTCTCAAAACCATGAACACATTGAACAAAACAAATCGATTGAGAAGGTTCAAGAGTTCACTCACAAAATGAGAAATGTAATTAGAAATGAACGAGCAATGACTAGATCGGAAAAAGAAAAATTATTGGAAGTGTGTCAAAGTAACGATGAATGGTGCATTAAAAATTCTGTGAGTATATACATGATAGTAAGAGATTCTTTTCAATATAGTATAGAAATAATTACCTTTAATAATTACCAACGTCTTTTGTAATCCGTGCTTTCATGTTTTGGTTGAATTAATTAATTGTACGTTTTTTATCAAGAAATAAATTCTACTCAACCTATTATTAGTTTGCAGTTTTAAGAAACAAATAAATATATATTTTTCACATAAAACTACGACGTTTAAAATACTTTTATTCATCAATTAACATTTCGCTGTTTCTCTTCTGTCTATATTTAAGAATGCCACATAATATGAAGTGGACCGCAGAATAAAGATATTACAAGGGCAATGGGATCATGTTATTCAGTCTTTGCAAATAAGGGCAGAGGTAATGACTAAAATTCACGCAATTTTGATCTCGAAGGTTTTATTCATCTAATACGTACATTGTTCGTTTTATCTATTAAAAGTTAAAACCAATAAGTTAAAGGTTTTAGTAATCAATTTATTCTGTGAATTCAATTCTATTTAGTCCGATTGTTACGAATAAATTTTGATACGCGAAAATTTATTGGTAAACATTCGTATATATTTATCTAATAACTTATTATTTTCACAAAATTAGACACCATGAAAAGTCTAAATCACGTTATCCTATCAAATAGATTCAGGTTTAAAACTTCATTCCACTCCAATGCAACTCGTTCGAAACAAGATTTTCAAACAAAAGTAAAAAACACAAGTCAATCGTCTTTAAATTAATATTAGAATACCAATGTTTTTATTAGATAACCACAATAATATTTGATTTATATCCGTAGCTTTATAGAGAGTTTTTTTTTTATGAAAAAGAAAATAAATTATATTTATCTAGTGCAGGAGTGTGCAACCTTTTTTCGGTGGGTCATATAACCAATTTTAAACATCTAGTTGGGCCACACAAGTAAAATTATATTTCCCATGTATATGAAGACTTAAAAAATTAGCGACAAACATAGGTCCGCGGGAAAGTAATGGAAGATAATACGGCTATCGCTTAGGCTTTCGATAATAAAGGCACTGGACAAAACGGCCAACGACTGAACGCAATGATAACAGCAAAAATCATTATGTTTTTATCCGTGTAAGCGCCTTTTTGAACATAAACTGCCGGATTAGGAATTTATCCTTGATGGGAGAAGTTCTGAGTGGTGTTGGCAAGGGCCACAGTTAATGACTGTCCGGGTCAGGTCGTGTCCCGCGGGACGCCTGTTGCACAACCCTGATCTAGTGATAGTAACGTATTCAGATAGAAATCCTAGAAATTCATGAAAAATACCTATAGTAAATATAATGCAACAATCTTTGTCGATTCTGATATAGTTTTTTCGAATATTCAAGTAATTCAAATGCACTAACTCATAAATAAACATATAATTTTCACTTTCAAGTTCAGAGAAATTCTATTAATGCTGGATTGATTTCAACTGTTCGTTATTATTAAAAGGAAAATAAAATATGTTATCCAGTAATAGTAAAGTTTTCAGCTATCGGAGTATACAATGTTTGACTACTTATTTATTCGGAGCTTGTACTAATTAATGCATTACTAATTAATGCCATTTATACATTAATTAACACCATGCATTTTTTTTCAAGATATTTTTTTGTATATATAGGGCACCGAAAAAGGGGGATCGAAAAAATCAATTTCTAGAGAACACTCACTCGAAAAAGATTCTTCCTACGGGCGAAGTCGATATTCGAGTGAAAAAGTTAGTAAACGACTATTTTTAGAATCGGTCCGAATTTTATGAAAAAAAAAATCATGAAAAATTTATTAATATAGCAAATTCAAGTCTAGCTTCTTTGTCGACTCTGAGATATTTTCTGTTGAATATTCAAATAATCCATTTCTCCTGCTAATACACTTGAAAATAATTGTCAAAATGTATGTGATCATATGGTAAAAAGTTGGCGATGGGGTACCCCTGAAATATGCGCACCAACATGTCGCATACCCTGAACCGGAGGTCCGGCGATGAAACTTATTTCATCGTTATTTTCTATGTTGCCTAAATTTAATTGGATTATATGTTCACTCATACAGTTCAGAGACAACAAAGAGGAACTGATTGCCTTGGTAAAAAAGGCTAGAGTAAAAACTCACGATCCCATGTATAAAGACAGTGTATCAAAACGAGACAAGAATAGAATCAAAATCAAACACGGAAAAGTAGTGAATGGGACATGGGTGAGAGTAAAAATTTTTGTATCCTAATATATTTTATCTTATCGGTTTTATAAAACATATCTTATGAATAGTGTCATATACGACATTTATGAAATATTATACTAAACACGCACACATTTACAACTGCAGCTAAAAGAAAATATTTATTTTACTAATATAAAATTGGGTGCACCCGTAGTATGTACACCAAGATGGCGCACAGCCTGAACATGGTATGTGACCCAGGTTAGGGGGATCAGGTTGTGCGCCATCTTGGTGCACATACTACGAAAGAGCCTGAAATTGTAGTCTTTCGCAATTTGTTTTTACACACATTTTCTAAAAAGACATAATATATAAAATAATGAGATCACTTAAGTTTTTATTAGATTGTTTTGTTCCCAAAGTAACATTTGGTTTTTTACGTTTCTTTCAGACCAACCAAACCGCTGAAAAAGAACTACAGGATTTAAAGACTTTATGTGAGGAGATTTTTGGATCCATCGATTATCATGATGATCCTGCAAGAAAAAACAGCGGGAGGCGTTGGTACTATTGAAGTTTTTTTGTACGAATTGGAACTCAACGACTGCGTGTAATAGGCAGAAACAATATATTTGTTGAAAGTACATGACGTGAAAGCAAACGACGATAAAGATTATACCAAAATGAACAAATACAAGCATTAAAAAATTAAAAAAAAAAAACGTCAGATTATAGAGCAATAACGCTTATATTATGTTAAAAAATTTGATCATACTAACATATGTGCACTACATGGTTTATGGACAAGTACTCTGTGATCCGGGAAACTGATTTCTTCTCAATTATGTGAGGTTTAACGGTTACCCGGTTCGAAATTGTTTTTTACAATTTCCCCTTTAAACCCGTTCTATCTACAATTTATTGTTTTGTTCAATATTCCTTGTTTCGTGTAATTTTATATTTTATGATAATGATGTCTATGTCATATTAGGTATACGTTGTATATATGTCAATTATAATATTATTATTGAAACTGTTTTAAAATATATATATTTTGGATGTTAATCGTTGACTAATATGTATATGATAAAATCTCTCCCTAATATGATGTCTGTAATCTGTTATTTGTCTAGTCTGATATAATATAGATATAAGCGACGTAACTGCACAAACGTTCGATTTTTTTTATCAATTAGGCATTTTATAATTATACGATGGAATAAAAGTAGGAATCGATAGTGAGATGAATGTTTCTGATATTGAATAATAAACAGAGACATAAGATTATGCAACATATATACCTTCTTGTCAAATAGCTTTGAAAATAATGTGAAATATTAGATTTTTCAAAATCTGGTAGAATAAATAGATAGCGTATAGAAAAGTTTGTTTGGTCCGGTGAATAGAACACCAAAAATGACGATAACGAAGCACCAAAATAACAGCGTTGCCATTGCCATGTTGTTCGTTGTCAAAATCCCCGACGTCTTACTTGACACAGTAGGCTTTCTCTGAGCATATACGTTTACTGAGAACAACGATACACAATAAATTCCGTATGTATGCCGCCACTTCTCAAGGTAATGACGCATTTACCCAGCTGATTTGTAAGCTCGGTTGCGCTTTATCATGTTATACTTGCCAGGACAGTTTCGTTGAGCAATGATGTGTATCAAAAACAACAACACGTTTAATTATGGGTCCCTTACGCAACCTTTCCGTGTAATAATTCTTTACATCTGAGGTGCTGAAGTTCCGATAATATAATATACACCAAATATATCAATTTATATCAGGTATGATATTATCCATTTTGCAGTGCTCGAGAATATTCCAATTTGACATATTTTTCTTAGACCTTCTATCTAAACACTAAAGTACCAAACTCTAATTCCCTGTTATCAGTCAAGCTGGGTATATGTATATGTTACAGTAGATACATTATGATTATGAATCTAATTGCAGCGTATCTCAGGGTGAAAACTAGACATTACATTTTGGCACAGACTCCTTTTTTATGTATAAGTGGCCACCAAATTAAATAGGTGGATGGACGCACTTTGCACGTACTATTCATTTTTTAAAGATAAACTTTCGGGAAAAACTAACGTTGGGAGTTTTGTTGTTGTTTTATGTTTTGTCTTCAGTGGGACTGGATCACGGTCCATTTACTTTATTTGACAAAAATCTGAAAAGATTGTGCACCGTAGAACTGTTGTGGGTGGTGGGTTCGCTCCAATCCTTATCTTCAAATATTTTAAATCTCCCCAGGTACGCGTGATTTATCAGCACATACGTCGCAAGATTTTATGCAGGGCAGTCAACCGCGTCGGACATAATGATAATAGCAAACTTATATTGTCGGACACCATGAACGATTGAGTTGTAGTCTGTACTCTCTCGGAGATAATTTGATACCGGAATCATTTGCGAATCATTGTAAATTTATCGACATAACTAATTTAGGACCAAAGACTTTTTTCTGTATTTGTCACGTTGAATGATTAGGTAATTCAGAGATCAATCGTGCTCACCCAAAAACCAGGTCTGTTTAATGAGCAAACAAATATTCAGCTGATAGAAGAATTTTAATTTCTTATTCTTGTGAGTTGCAGGGTATGGCCGTATCCAGAGCACATCTATCCATAGTAAAGTACTTGTGAATTTTGTTGTTCCATACTTGGCAGACACATATATATAGATGTCAAATATTGGCTGGTATTAAATTATAATTTCCTTCAATATTCGAATGTTTGCTTCTGGTATGTACGAGATGGCCATAAATGCCATAAGTCGAGATCGTATATTAGCTATTAGAGTATGACAAATTGTGCGTTTGCCTATACGGATATTCAGGAGTTTTGTCTGGATCATGCGTGTAAGTAAAGCAACTGCGATTGGACACCTAGTCGGCTGTACAAAACAATGTTACGCGTGAGTGCATTGTTGTTATAAATTGATAGTTGTCAGAATGGAAGATCGTTGGTGGTTCCTCTTTTATTGAGTAGATTAATTTTCGTTTGACATAGCACATATACTGTAATTAAAAGCGTTTTAGCAAGTCAGACTATGGACTACGATTTGATCCAATCAAACTACAGAATTGAGGTCATAAATGTCAGGGGATAAATTGAACTTTAAAATAGTTAGAGATTTGAAATAGTTGAAGCGTCAAATGTATGTCACGTTAGTCAGAGATATTTCGCCTATCATTTTGAATCAACATGCCATCTCGAAACCACTTATTATCTCCAATGGTACCTTATGGAAAAATAGATCGATTTTTCATTTTGTATGCGTTTATCTACCACCATTCATGCTCTCATTCGTGGAATATTTCCGGTACAAATTTTTAGCATAATCTTCATGTGCATTTTGATTTTCAATACTTGCTAACACAGTTTTAGAAAATATTAAGATTCATTATTTGAAACCAGAGACTGAGTGAAAGCCATTTAAAACCATAGTTGAATAATTATGTTGTATTGTATATGAGCTATGTTTTATCATCATTTTAAATAAAGCATTGTGATAGAGCTTTGAATTTAACCATGGCTGCAATAGGAATTGATTTGGGAACAACAAATTCTTGTGTTGCTGTTTACCGAAACAAACGAGTAAGTATTCAAGCTCGACGTGTGATTTGTATTGTGGGTTTGTGGGTTGAATGATAAACAGCTCCGCAGAGTTTAAATAAGCATATAATTTTAAAGGAACATAATAAATGTATTGCTTATAATGCAGAATACGTTGCCAATAGAGTCTCACAAAATATTAACAACACTGCATTTCATTTCACGTCGATCATACGCATAGGCTGTATAATTTGAGTAGCATTATTATATATAGTATTAAGTCAAATTGTGACGCGTCAAACATTCATTTCAGGAAAAATTGAATATAGGACTTTGAGGAACATCAGCAAGACGATTGCTTTGTCTTATAGGCAAACTGTAAACCACTCGAACGTGTATTTAAATTTTCATGAGAATTTGTGAGCTAAATGTGATATTGGCCCTTAATTTTTGGATCTCCGCTCCAGTAGACCTTCACATTCAGTCATTCTGATGGATCTCCGCTCTAGAAACCCCCATTCTCAGTCGTCGTGTACAACTCTAGGTTTAGCTTTAAGCGTTTGACCTAAGGTCGAATTGATATTTTGTTTACATGGTAGCAACGAAAAAAAACATGCCGATCGTTAAAAATTTTCCACTTTTTCATAATATTTTGTCATTTATTCGTTAACTTAAGCAAGTCGAATATTAACATTCCGAGCATTCTACCCTTCGCGGAAAATGAACAATCTTTCGAACAAGTCGTCTTTCATCTAGATAGTCCATGAATTGATGAAGCTTTAAAAATTATATTTTAGTCAACATGTTACATTTATCAGCCACAGAATAACTTATGCACAAAGATACCTAAGAGATGCACAGCGCTCAAAATGAACTGACACTTTGGTACAACGGCGCTCCATTAGTATGTGTACCAATATGTAGGTTACTCATTTTTTCGCCTATTTTACATTGAGTTGTGTACAGAGACTGAAATCTATGGGCAGGGGGCATATTCACTTGGATATCGCAGACAGTCCCCGAACTTGTAATAGAACTAAAATAAGGAAATTCGGAATAAAATTATGGTCAAACCCTAACCTGGTACACATACTACGTGAGTACCTACTTTCTCTGCACATTATTATTGGCTGATTGCCTCGAATTAGCGGAGATCCATATCGGGCGCATACCAGCTTACTAGTTTACTTTAAAATCAAAATGTTTGTAAACTTTGTGATTTCTGTCTATTTGTATTGAAATTCTATTTCATAAATCCATTTTTGTGGCTCTCAATAAACAGGAGAAGCCGACGTTTCGAAGCAATGCGTCGAAAACAAATGATATTTTATTGATAGTTTATTTAGTCTATGTAAAATCATTACTTTTATTCATCAAACAATCTAAGGTCGAAATCATAGCAAATGATCAAGGCAGTCGAATAACACCTTCATGGGTTTCATTCACGGACTCACAAAAATTGGTCGGAGAAGCAGCGAAAGAGGAAGCATCAATGAATTGTGAAAACACCCTATTCCGTAAGAAAATTTTCAAACTTTGACAACATTGGAGTTTTCTATTGATCTCTGAAGGTTACCATATTCTCATCAATCGTTAATCAATTCATTTTTTGCAGATTAAGACTACAGAAATTCAGTCAGACTTTGTATTAGTATTTGATCCTTTAATTTTTGTCATTTGTGGATTCATTGTAAGAATTTTATATTAATTATCATGAACTTTCATTCCAAATAGGACTTACTAGACATGACATTTGTTCAAGCAATTAGTAGATATTTGTTCAAAGAAATGAACAATTTTTGCTGTATTATTTTGATATCGATAATGACGCTATTGCTAAGTTTAACAAACTTATTCACCAAACCAATGCAAAGTCATGATTCTTTGATCATATTAATATAATATTATAACAATTTTTCGGGTTCATGCGCTGCGTGTGGAGATGAATTCATATTTCAGCATTTACTCCTAATTGATGTTGTTCATGGAAACCTAATAGGAAAATATTGTTTCAATTCGACATTGAATGTATGCTTACCTATTTTTTTAGAGATAAAACGTTTAATTGGCCGCAAATTTAACGATCCCACTGTGCAAAAGGATATGAAACGATGGGGATTCGAAATCGTAAAAGATGGTGACAGACCAAAATTGCAGGTTATTTTATATAAATTATTATGCCAAATGCAAATTTTCGTTATTCTTTCATATTCATTTTAAACGTATTTGAGACATCTAGAGCGATCACTCAAAAATAGAATTAAATTTTTTGTTTTGTTTCTTATAGGTAACTTATAAAGAAGAAGTTAAAACATTTTTTCCAGAAGAAATAAGCGCCATGATTCTGGCTGAGTTAAAGGAGGCTGCTGAAGCATACATGGGAGGCAAAATTACTGACGCTGTCATCACGGTCCCAGCTTATTTTAACGACGCCCAGAGAACAGCTACTAGAGATGCAGGTAGAATTGCTGGCTTGAATGTTTTATCAATGATCAATGAACCAACTGCAGCTGCAATTGCGTACGGCCTGGACAACAAAGTGAGTTAATGCACTATATAGCACAAAAAGACTATTTTCCTTATATCAGGAATCAATAAATGATATGGAAAAACATGACTTTCGGTCCAATTGATAATTTTGATTTGAAATAAACTATTGCTATATTGTAAGACACTGATTGTAATTGACTGTGTTATCAGCATTCTGGCGATGGCAAATAATTATAAGAGGATACTTTCTCCTGTCTACAGTTATATATTGAATGTTATATTTGTCAATAGCATTTATTAAAACATCGACAAGGAATGCCTACGTCTCTATGGTATAAATTTCCCTTATCTCCATTCACTTTTTTTTATTTTTTATTTTACGGATCAGAGTTTTTCCAGTCTCGGATCAGCGTCTTAAAGACACGTCATATCGGTATTACGCTTCATAAGCATGCCACTGCTTAAGCAGCGGTCACACACATAAGGCGGCTTCCGTATCCGCCATGCATTGCAAGGCAAAGACTTTCGGCCCCGAGCATCAGTACATGCTATGTGCCAAATAGCAGGACGTCTGCCCACGGCTTCCGCCAATGCCATGCTTAACACAGCTCAACTTCCGCCACCCCCGGCTTCCGTACATACGGTGAGGCGCGTAACACGTACACAGCATGACATCCACCGCGAAGCTTCCGATTCATCATATCCGTGGAATTGCCAGATGGTCTTTCTCAGAAGTATGCTACCCGTTATGGGGAGCACAATAAAAATTTTGGTTGTATTTGTTCTGGTTTGGCTATTTTTTTTTTTTTTAATAGTCGTACCCAGCGAGTATCTCCTTCCAGTTTGGATTCAGGTCTGATGTGTAGGTGTGAGGGAACTTATGATCCAATTGTTCAATAAATTCCAACCATTTTAGAATTGTTTTTTGGATAATTTTGTCTTCATTTGGATCAACCATCTTATTCTCTATGTCTAATTTGATTTTGTGGTTGATGGTTATTAATTTGAATAATAGGAATAGTTTCGTGGTGATGATCTGATTGGACACGGTGTAGTGGTTATAAAATATATTTTCTTTGGATATTTGGGATGGTGTTTTAAGTGCCAGGTTTAGTTTTTCAACGATTCTAGTGATGTGTCGAGTAATATATGTGCAGTGTAGGAATATGTGTTTTGTATTGTCTTGGCGGCTTCCACAGAACTTGCAGTTTAATAGCTTTTGTTTTCCATGTATGTCCCGGAGTATCGATCTTATGCGGGCTTTGTTTCCGAAGATGTATCCGTCCGTCACTATTCTGTATGAACATATTCTTTCCTTGTTTGTTAATTTATTCTTTAAGGATTTTTGCGTAGCGTGGACGTCGCTCCAGTCTATTCCAGTAGGTAGAGGTGACTCATTTTCCGGGTTGTGCAAAAGTTTTGCGTATATGTCTTTATGTTTTAAGGTAGCCCATTGTTGTTTTGTAAGGTCGAAATTTTTGGTCGGTTCTAGGTATTTCTTCGAAATTTGGGGGACGAAAGGAAGGTGGGGAGTCGAATTTGTGTATAGGTTTTGGTTGACTGTTTTGATTTTGGAGCCTAGTGCGTATATTGCCTCTTGGTGCCAAAATTGTTGTGGTGAGTCTATATTCTTTAACGCTATTGTTCTCTCAGCTATACATGCCAATATTTTCGTTTTGACGTGTGGCATATTTATGCCGCCTTCTAGCCATGGACGTTGTAAAGTACTTCTTTTGATGGCCACGATTTTTTCAGGAAACCATATGAAGTTGGCGATTTGCTGTTGTATTTTATTAAGGTGTACTGGCGGTATTTCTATAAATCTTGCGTGGAATATAATTTGGGACATTATTGCAGAATTTGGGACCATAAGTTTTCCAATCCAGGTGAGTTTTCGTGTTTTTAGAAAGTTGAGTTTCCGGGTTATTTTTACGAGTGCTTCGTTCCATGTGTGAGCTTCACGTCCTTTCCCGTAGTAAATACCTAGTATTTTTGCCGTTTCCTTGTGGTATTCCTTGTGCGGGGATTTTAGAAGTTGTTGTTCTGCGCCCAAAGTGAGGCTTAGTATTTGAGTTTTATCTATATTTATTTTTTGACCCGCTGCTTTTTCGTACTTTTGGAGTTCAGAAAAAATTTGTTTAATCGACGTTATGTCTCGTACTGCGTATGTGGCGTCGTCGGCAAATTGGTCCAGTTTGTGTGTAAATTTTCCAAGTTTGATGCCATGTATGTCGGGATTAAGTTGGATCGATCGAATCAGGGGTTCCGCGTTCAAAATGTATAAGAGCATGCTGAGCGGGCAGCCTTGCCGAATACCTCTATTAATTTTAATAGGGTAGCTCATTTTACCATTGATATCGATAATGTTGTATATGTCCATGTACATATTTTTTATTACGTTAATTATTTTGGGACGGAGTCCAATTTTGTGCAGGACTTTGAATAGGAAGTTATGGTCTACTCTGTCGAAAGCTTTTAGGTTATCTATCATGATTAGGTATCCAGGAATTTGATTTGTTTTGCAATAGCGGGAGACCGCTTCTAGATTATAATGCGCATTAAACATGGTTCGCCCTGGGAGGGTGCTTTTTTGCGCGTGGCTAATCAGTGTGGTGAGCGGGGTTTCTAGTCGTTTTGCTAAAAGTCTTGCAACCAGTTTATAGTCGAAATTAAGGTTTGATATAGGTCGCCAATTTGTAAGTAAGTTCTTGTTTCCTTTGTTTTTGTAAATTAGTTTCACCCGGGCATATTTGGAACTACACGGAAAACAGCCAAAGCTTAGGATGTTGTTTACCATGATTGTCAGCTTTTCTTTGATGGTACTCCAGAAGGTTATGTAGAATTCTTTACTTAACCCGTCTGGGCCAGGGGCTTTGTTATTCTTCATGTCCTTGATTGCAGAAAGGATCTCGTCTTCATTTGCCAGTTTTTCAATCTGCTCATTTTGATTTTGGGTGAGTTGGGTAGTTTCCATCTGGTCAAGATAGTGGTGCTGGTAGGTGTTGTCAGTATCGCACTTTTTGCCCCAAAGATCGCTGTAAAAATCTTCTACTGCTGTTGTTATCTCATCATCTGTGGTGGCTTGATTTCCCGTTGCGTATTGGATAGCATCCATTGTTATTTGCTTGGTGCGCATTTTCATTTTATTGTAGAAGTACTTTGATGGCTTTTCCCCTTCTTCTTGATCTTCAATTCCCGCCAAGATTGCTTTGTATTTAGTTTTTTTTTCCAAAAGTATGTTGAGCTCTGCTTGGAGTTTCTCGAGTTTTCTGAAGTCAGTGTTTTTGCCCTTGGTTAATATGTTATCTATATTTTGTCTTATCGTTTTTTCGGTTCTATTGTTTTGTTTTGTTCTTTTTATTGAGTAAGCTATGGTTTGTTTTCTCGTACTCAATTTGAAACTATCCCACCAATCCTGAATCGTTTCGAACCTTTCCAAGTTGATGACGGCCCTGTTGTATGTGTTTTTAATTAGTTCCAAAAACTCTTGTTCTCTATATAACGAGGTGTTGTTTCGCCACATTCCCTTGCCCCACCTTGATTTTTTCAGAGTCCTAAGCTTAATAAGTTGGCAGAGAGCATGATCTGCCACTGTGTTGGTAGTGTGCCCTACATGCGTAATTAAAGGATCTATTTCTCGCGAATCAGTGATTCAAAGTGAATCTCCATTCACTTTGAAATCGAACTTTAAGTCAAACCTACTGAATGTTAGTTGGAACCTACTGTAAAAAAGAATTAGTCTAACATGATCTAAATATCGTTTCGCCATAAGCCAGGAAAGAAGAATGAAGTCATTGGAAATACGTGATAGGGAAGATTAACTTCATATTAATAAAAGCTTATTTTGAATTTTTCAGAGCAATGACGAACGGACCGTGTTGATCTTTGATCTTGGAGGGGGAACATTCGATGTAACTATCGCAACAATCGAAGAACAAATATTTGATGTCAAAGCAACTGGTGGGAACACTCATCTAGGGGGTAAGTTGTGCTGCAAATACCTGTAAAATTGTCAGTATTTACACAAGTTTTATATATTGAACAAACACAAACCCATCTCAATTCATGGAACTATAATATGATAATATTCAGAAGTGTATTTAAAGAGGTTGAAAGGCTGACAAGCCAACATTGAAGGAATAATCTATTTTATTTGCAGCAGTTCTAATATCATGTATCAAAAATCTATTTGATTCCAATAGCGGTTGATATTGTCATTTAGGAAAAGAGCAAAATTGATCAAATTGGCTTTTTAATTTCTTCCAATGAACATAATGTTTATCCCAATATACCCATGTCAATCTTTTAGAAGTTATAAACGACGTTACCGACATCAGTTTAAAAATTTGATCAAATCAGTTCAAACCTTAATGAATATTCAGATTAATTTGAAAGAAATTAAATAATAAATATCTAAATGCAAAATGTATTACAACACAGGTGAAGATTTTGATAATCGAATGGTCGATCATTTTATCAAAGAATTTAGTGTAAAACATGGAGTTGATATGTCAAGCAACAAACGAGCTGTTAGTCGATTGAGGGTGGCGTGTGAAGCAGCAAAGCGAAAACTTTCTGTGTCTACCAATGCAAAGTAGGCATAAAAATAAAAAATGAATTCATCTTTTTATGTAAGAATCAATATTATTATTTTGAAAATTAATCGAATAGGACAAAGCATTCTTTTAATGTTTGAGCCACACACAAGCGAAATTTCTATTGATATATCTGAAACTTAATACCGAATAAAATATTCCAGAGTTCAGCTTGACGGACTGTTCATGGGATTAGACTTCAAGAGCAACATCAGTCAAGCAAAATTTGAGGCCATGAATGCGGATCTTTTTGACAGCACTCTCGATACAGTTAAAAATGTTCTTTCTGATGCAAAAATGAACAAAAAACAGGTAAAGAATATATTTCTGCAATGTACATTCAATGGAATGTTTTGTGTCTCATATATAATATTATATTTAGAAAATTGATTAAATAATAACATAATAATCATCGTTATGTTCAATTGATTATTGTTCAATTTTATTAGATTGATGATATCGTCCTTGTAGGAGGGTCAACTCGGATTCCAAAAATTCGGCAACTTTTACAAGATTTCTTCGAAGGGAAAGAGATATGCAGAACAATAAACCCAGACGAAGCTGTAGCATATGGAGCTGCAGCATTAGCTGAAAACATTAGATCCGGAGGGTCTGAAACGGTTAGTCAATAATTTCTATGAATAAATAAACACATTACATGGGTTGAGAAAAAAATAGGACAATCAATCAGCTCCCGTTTGAATAGATATCTAAAATTTTGGTACTCCCGAAGTATGTGAACCAAGATGGCGGACACCGGAACTTTGTATGTGTACCAGGTTGAGGTTAGGCCATAATTCTATTCCGATTTTTCTTATTCAAGTTTTATTACGAGTTCGGAGACTAGCAAAGTGACTCCCGTAGCATTTTTACCTGAAACTATGGACTAACCTGGTACACATACTACGTTCCTTGTACGCCATCTTGGTTCACATACTTCAGGAGAACAAAATTTGAGATATACATTTAGGTAGTTACACATGTACAAAAGCGCCAAGAGAATGCTGATATGAATATAGATAAACCATATATTGAGAATACTATTCGAAATGTAACTTTGTATTTAAACAAATCTCTAAGTGTAAATGCTAATCCATGAATGCAGTTCATTTTTCAAAAGAGTGCATTCCGTAAGAAATAAATCCGTAAGGTAGATGCTCTAGCGCCACTTTGCGATTGAACTATTGTATCACGTCAGTATTGTATCAAATTTCTGATTTTTGTTAAGTTTCTATTGCAAGCAATTCATCATCAATTAGCGTGTGTGTCGCAACAGGATGCCCATTTCATAAAACTCAATTTCAATTCACTTAATTAACCCGTGATAATTTCTTTAGAAAGAGCGTTTCCAGCTAATGGATGTAACTCCGCTCTCGGTTGGAACCGACGTTCGAGAGACAGATATGTTTATCGTTATTCCGAGAAATACAAAAATTCCGACAAGAAAAACGGAATCTTTCATAACTTCTAGCGACAATCAAACGGCACTAAATTTTAAGGTTAATTTAATTTGTGTCATTTTCGAGTGGTTGAATTATAAACCAATCAGCATTAAAATGCCACCCTAAACGATTCAATTAAGTCATTGTATTTAGGGTAGCAGTTTCAACAGTTTATATTAGATTAGACAATTTTTAAATAATATCACAGACTTCAAAACAAAAAATATTTTTAAGCGCAAATTGGTAATTACCAAACTTTACCAGATGAATTTGTTATCTTCGTAAGGAAAGAGGAAAATATTACTAAACATAACTTGAAAAATAAATAATATGTACTTATACTTGAAGTGCTCCGTGCAAACATTTGCAATTCTACATAAAATTACGATCCTTTGTAGACGTTTGAATGTACATTTATACTTTTTAGGTGTATGAAGGTGAACGACCTTGCATTCACGATAATCATCATCTTGGAACATTTGTTCTTAGAGGAATTCCACCTGCGCCGAAAGGAGTGGCGAGTGTTCAATCAGTTTTTGAAATCGACAGATCCGGCATCCTGACCGTAACAGCCTATGACCCAATTTCAGGCAGCGAAAACAAAATAAAAATCACTAATGACGAGAAACAAATGGCAAAGAATGAAATTGATAAAATGGTTTGTGTGCACCAATGATTATGATTGTCGTATTTGTAATTAATCCCAATTTGGTAACACTCATTAGACAACATCAAATAATTCTATTCAATAATAAATGAATTCAAAAAGTAAAATCAACAATTCATTTTTTAATCTATCACCACACTATAAATAATACTTAATTTTACACTGTTAAGTAAAATAGCTATACAAATCTAGTACGCTACGCTATCAAATTTTTATATAAATAATGTAATATTTTACGTTATTCAACTTGGGGATAAGTGCAAATTTAAGTAATATTTTTTCTTGTTAATGAAAACAAAAATTATTCAGATAAAATTTTCATAAATTGCCCTGTATTCAAGTCCTGCCTTTGTAGTTGAAATGCAGTTAGAAAAATCGAATAATAAACCCTGGAAATACGTAAATATCGTTCTATTTCATCTCTGACGTAACAAACCTTAAAGTTTTGTATATTTTACTTTCTTGATCAAAAAGACTGTATTTTATTATGACCGGGTGTCCTCATTCAAACTTCAGTATCAGCTTCTTTTTATCATTGACAATTTTTGGCTTGCCGTCTATTTAGTTTAGTATTAACCAATTACTCTATAACAGGGTGGTCCGAGGTTGCGAGGTTGAAGGGCCGCAAAAACTTTTGAGAAGGTCTCACGGGCCGCAATCGGAGAAAACTCAAATATGATCAAAACATAGCAAATTTACCATTTTAAATATATTCAGAAATGAGAGTTTATCGTTCTAATCAGTGTTTCAAGAAAATTAGTTATTTTAAAATTGCTTCCCGAGAAATATCCCGAGTGCAACCGTCAAAAAAAACTAAGTTCGTCCAAGTTGGTACCTCAGACAGAAAAAAAAACTGGATCGCGCGGCGCTAAGTCAGCTCTGCGGTACGTCTCTGCCGTCACACGACACACGCGTAAGAATAGAGGGTTTTGTGTTTTGACCTAAATAAATGCACAAAACGTTTCTTCAAATTAGGAGTTATTTGACGCGAGATCATTACATCGGCTTGGTCCAGTCTGCACAAGACAATCAATTTTCCTTTTACCGATCACAAAACGTCATTCTAATATAACAGTGGTTTTCTACCTTTTACTGATTGCGTACCACTTCAGGGTCGGAGATATTTTATTTGTCACCTAAAAAAACAATAAACAACAAAACATCTGTAATAAATAAATATTGAAATGATAGGTGCTGTGAAGGAAGGAATGATCCGTCATCAAGTCTACAGCACTTCTAGATTGAAAAAAATGAATGAATGTAATGAATAGAAGAAACAAATGAAAAGAGTAGTAATAGTACATGGCAATAGAACATGGCATTACAATAAGAAATTGTGTTTTTTACTATGATCTCGTACCACCGACAAAACTCCCTTCTCGGGTTGGGACCTATGGCAAATATAACTCGCTATAGGAGTATTTAATATGGCACTACATCCATTTTAGACCTCCGTGTAAAGGTTCAACGTATTAATATTATGTAGTAATAACGTATTAATTGCGTGCAAAATCGCGAGAGCATTTGCGCTGTCTGCCATCAGAGCTGAAAGGCTTTAACCGTTGTTTAGTTTTAGGTGGGAAATGGCGGTCGAGGGCGATCTCAAGACAATTACTGGTAGCGCTATAAACCCATTCAGCGAATACATACAATATGGAAGATGAAGCGTTGTCGCCATATTTGGCCAACTCAAAAGTTAATTGTTGCAATGATTCAAAGCTGCTCGCTGTGGTTCGCGTACCACAGATTGAGAACCACTGCCGTATAGACACCGTCTTGACGTTCATAAATTCAACAATGAAATTCCGTGATTTTAACAAACATGAATACCGACATCGGGTTTAGGAAAAGGACTATTCCCAGTTGAAATAGTTTAAAAATAAATCAAAATTGTTCTGCTGATAAATACAAATATCTACCAATGGTTTAGTAGTGTACGCTAAAATTGTTCTGCGGGCCGCACGGAATGTGTCGGGGGGCCGCAGTTTGGACCACCCTGCTCTATGATATCCACAGATTGCTGCGGCAGAAAAATTCAAAATAGAAGACATGGAGTGGAAAGAGAAGAGTGCTGCTAAGAATGAATTGGAGGATTTGGTTTACAAAATCAAGCAGAAGGTTCAAAAAGACACAAGTGTAAGCCGTGGTGACCAAGAGAGAATTCTGGTTAAATCGCAAGCGACCATGGATTGGGTCAAAACAAACAGGGTATGTTTACTTCAATTTTTCAATTTGGGTTTATATTTACTCTTTAATAACGAATACAGTTGAAATGTCTATGAACGCGAGTATAGTTGTAAAGTCTAAATGAGTTTGTTTATTTTATCCTTATAAATTTTTCAATTTATACATTGAAATTTAATTCTTGTTTCATCATTATAATATGATAAAAATTTAATTTATTAATGAATACGGTTGAAATGTCTAAAACTGAGATAAGAGTTGCAGCACCTGAAAACGTTTGTTTTGATTTATCCGTATAACATTATACAGTAACTAATATGTTTTCCAATTTTGCAGATAATTGAAAGTAAGAGCATACGCCAAAAAACTAAAGAACTAAGAGATCTTTTCAACCGCATGGTTGGAGTTTCGTCAGGTACTTTAAATATTTCACCTTAGAATCGGTGCTCCCGAAGTATGTGCACCAAGTATCTGTACCAGGTTAGGGTTCAGGTTGTGCGCCTTCTGGGTGAAATTATTCATTCCGCCAGTTATATCTAAGTTTATACTGTCTTGGTGGTAAAAAGAAATTTAGCTATTATTTACCAGTGTTTAAATTTTATCAAGATAATAAACATTTATACGGTAAAGAAATACTATTTCTCTTAAAAATGTATACGTTAAGATGGTATGCACAGAATTTTTCACTGGTAGAATACTTGATGAAACCCATTTTTAACACATTAATCAACTAACAACTAATCCAAATTTTTAAAATGTTTACTACATACGCTGTATATTTTCAGATTAAAAACATATTCACATCAACTGGAAAGAGCATGATGTTGCTGATTGTTTCGAACAAACACTTCATTAGTCGTAGTTTTATTCATTTTGATTTTTTTATGTGGAAAGTTAATTTCAAGCTTCAAATATTTGCATATATATATAGATAAGTTTCTTTTTGTAAATATAAAATATAAATTCATGCCTATTTTATCTAATTTACCCGAACTTTCTTTAATATAGTCGTAAAACCATATTATTTTAATTTGATTATGTGAATAGTACTTTATTTGAGAGGGTTTTGCAGATATTTCCAAATTATCTTTTATTTCTCATAGTATATAGAGTTTATAAACAAAAATTGTTATTTCCAAATTATCCATATGTTTAATTATACATTCTCCAGAAAGCTTTAATTTTGGAAACAATTTTACATATAGTTTACAATCAAAATGAGAGCTTCGGTTTTTGCTATTAAGCAATGTTAATTTTTCATGAATTTCAGTTTGTTAAACTTAAATAATGAGTGATTGTTAAATGTGCACGACAATTACAACTATGAAGGAATTAAAGTTTTCGCATTGTTATAGATAGACCGTACATTCGAAGCTCAAATGTTATTTCAGGCGAAGTTTGTAACAGATTAAAAATCAAGTTTTCCTGATATTTGTAAAAAAGTATTGATTTTAAAAACACGGAAAAATTCAATAGCAGCTTTGAATATTGCGCTTGCAGCCACATTGATAAACATCATATCATGTTATTTGAAATGATTTTGATTTTATTTCCAAATAATGTGTTATTTTGCATGTACACATAGTTTATAAACAAAAATAGAGACTTGGCCTTTATAGTAAGCAATATACTAACATAACATATCCGTGTTTAGCCGTCAGAAAACCTACATTACAATACATTAGAAATGTTACAACTTCATTGTTTATAACTCATAACAAGCTAATTCAATATAATTCCGAATCCTATCATATTCCAAAGCTTAAGCCTTAGGTCGTCTCGGTAATTAAATCCCTACGATTCCTTTGTTTTATTTGATTGCTCGACGGTGTGCCATCTATGGTTCATGGAACACGTCACGTTAAATTGAACACGCGTGGACAGATATTGCCATACCCACAATATATATTACTAACATTTCTTGCCCATTAAAAAAATAAAAAGTCTGATTTTAGTTTTTAGATAAACAGAAAGCAATGCGAAATTTTTGCTTGGCTTGAACAACATTGAACATTTGTTCCATATCTGTATGAAGGAGATAGCCTGGTTTGATGATGCTTCTCTTTTATTTTATAATCTTGTAGACGAAAATTTTATAATTGAAGTATAGAACAGTCATTATAACAGAACAAAAAATGTTTGGAGATATTTTGTAATACAGTTCAAACGATACCTAAAACCTAAATTGCACCTTTGAAAAATACTGTTAATTCAGTGACATATAAGTTATTTAAAAAATTCAAAGTTTATTATTTAAAGTTGTTTCTTCTTCTTTATTATCACAATTTAGTGACTTCACACGGATCTACTTTAGACGTATTGGTCTTTACCAGAAGTGACAGTTGCGCAAACAGAAAGAATATCGAACCTGTAAAAAGTTAATATGTATATAGAACAAAGGTTATGAACATGCACTGAAAATCAAATGTGTATAAATTATAATATATAACTAATTTCCCTCGGTACTGCATTCCTTGCCACTGAGAATGTGCCAGGTGAGATATTTTGCAGTATGGTTTTCATTATGTAATTCATTGTATTAGCTATAGTTTTGATCAATATTCATTTAATATCATAATTCTACGCTGCTACAATTATACGTCATAGAAAAAATCAAAAAAAAAAATATTGAGACACCTATTCGAAACCGCTAGATTGTTGCCAATCTTATTATGACAACTAAATAAAAACTTGTCATTTGCTACTTAATCGATATCACTTGAATTTATTAAAACCACGTGGTAAATTGCAAATATTTATTCAACATTTGAGCTTACTTGTCAAATAAAATCCTGGATAAACAAGGTACAATGATTCCCTGAATCCCATCAAATCTGCTAGAGGAGGAACAATGAGTTGTGCATTTCCACCAATATTATTGATGACGAATATAAAACAAGCCACTGCGCTTGCACGAGCGTGCGCTGGATAGAATTCGACAAGAATTGTAAATAAGACTCCAAACCACATCTCGGCTGCAAAAAAACACAACAAATAATTGATCAATTCAATGGAAGTTTTGGAATGTTCAATCGTTGCTGCAACAATCGTGAAATAAAAATTTTGTTATTTACGCTAATCACGCATGCATTTAACAGTATATCACGATGGCAGTCAGCGTGCTGCCCATAACTAGAAAAAAAATTCGATCGGATACTTTCGTTTTGAGCTCACAATTTTGAGTGAACAGTTTTTTTACTAGTAGTGTTACTATATGAATAAGACATGAAAAATTCCAAACGTTCCAAGTCTTTAAATATAATATAGCCTGCATAGTAAAATAAAATTAACTTACCAAATAAATAGGCGACGAGAAGGGAAATAAAACATTCAGGTGGTTCAACTAGTAAAACTCCGGCGGCGCAAGGTGCCGCAAGTGCTTGGGATACAACGAGGACCCAAAGTCTAGTTTTGACGCCTTAAATAAGGAGAGGTATGTGATTAAAACTGAAAGAGATTAGTCTAACTTTTCTTTCAGGCTTTTTCTTTATTTAATATAATATCAAGTGTATCTCGTTGTAAAATTTTCATTCAATTTTAACCTTCGTGTTATTAAGTACTGCACCAGTTTATCAACACTTTCATTACGCAACAATAGTCTGTAAATAGACGAAATCTTGTTACTTACCATATTTTCTTGCCAATATATCGGACGCAAGTCCGCCAACCACAATTCCAATTGTTCCCCCAGCTATCGATGTGATTGACATGAAAAATCCAACTTCTGTGCCAGGATAATAATCATCAAAGTATAATTGTGCATTGTAGGACCAGCAGAAACTAGCTGAAATATAAGAAATAATTTAATTATTACACATATAAATAAAACTTACATGTTGAATGGAATTTTTTTTTCTATAGAGATTGAAATCAATTTTGGATAGTTTCTGATACATATTTTTTTTTCAACTTGCTTGGCTGTACACTCTCATTCGTTTACATTCGTTGTACCTACCAGACAAAAGAATTCTATGCCGAGAACTTCAGTTATGCGGAATCCGCTACTTGAACTGTTTTTCTGATTGTAATGACATGAACTGCTTCAAGTATAGCTACAATGGTATTTACTAACGAGCAATGCCACAAGATTTTTTTTTATATTGTCATTAGCACTTGTCCTTATAATGGTCGCCCGTGGCTCATCCCGGGGTCAGCCAGTCAGTAGTTTATTCTTCACCAAAATGAAAATGCACTCACAGTGAAAATAAACTTAAAAAAAGTTGAAAATGACATTTCATGGTGAAAAACCGCAAAAAACCAAAGTTTGTTATCGAGCAGCGACACCTGTGATAAGAGTCTAACTTTGATACAAGTTTAAGAGAAATAAGACGAACAATATATATTTAAATTAATATATCAAACGGGGACCGTTATCTTTAATTCGGATGAGTTCTCGTGACCTTGCTTTGGTAAAATATCCTAAAACAAATAAATAATAATCAATAAACCAATAATTCCCGAAATTTATATACCTGAATGGCGAAAGCACGCTCCAATTAGTAGCAATGGCACAGTTGCGTTTTTACATGTTAATGCTGCCACCTCGCGGAATTTTCCTTTTTTCTTTTCTAAAATTTGAAGAATTTGAATGGTTTAATACATAAAGTAATAAAAGAAGAAAAATAAAGAGAATAGAATATTTATTATTACCTTTTATGAATTACATTTAATTTGAGGTAAAATAAGTAATCAGATTAAAATAGTCTAGTGACAGGGGTATAAAAGAAAATTTTTGTGGTACATTACATTATAAACAAGCCCATATTTCAGAAGGGTGACAAAAACAACTCAAAAAATTGCGATTTGCGGTATTTTAGAACAATACAGATTAAAAAAATCAACCTTCTGCATTAGTTCCCTCTTTATAAGAAATGCTGGTCTGAAATTCTATTGTTCCTCGTGGTGGCTCCCGTATAGCTATGATTATGACTACTGCCATAACAAATCCAGCAATTCCAGTCACTACGTACCCGCTTCGCCACCCCTGAAATTTAAAGTTGTTTTAAATAAACAATTTAAGTGATACACAATTTAAAAGAAGCTGAATGGCAAACTATCAAAGACAAATTTGAGCCCATTCGAAGCTAAAATTTTTTGTATTAAAGTATTTGAAGAATGGTCACAGTTAACTTTGATCAGGGATGAGATTACGTTTTTTTGTAATAATCAAAAATGTATTAGCATAAACTGTAATGAATGTATGTATCACAATCTTTATTACACAACACAGCAGCATATCCTAATTGATGGGTAGATACACAAAGTGTTTCCGAATTTTCAGATTTGATGATTGCTTCATCTTGTCGCCAATTTTGTAATTACAGAAATCACCGATTCATTGTTTTTTAACTATTAATATCCGATCATGGTCTAGGGCGAATTGGGTGACAGTGAGTAGATTATAGATCGGAATGTTTATAAATTAGCATAGTCGTTAGGCTATGGTAAAGCGCAAAATATGGCTAACGCTTCAAAAGAAAAATAGACCCCTACAATCCTACATGATTACCTCACCGAATCAAGTATATCCGCGTCAGTCATATAATTTCCAACTGCAAATGCAAGGCCGTATCCTAAATAAATTCCCCAATTATATATACTCATTCCGCGACCCCGTGATCTTGCTGGGAACCAATCAGCAACTAAAGACGATGCTAGTGGAGTGCAAGCTGATTCTCTGAAATTAAAAGATATTTTTGCCGTGTTATTTTTACGTGAGTATGTTATAGGCAATTAAGATATTGTCTATACGGAAAAATGAATGTAGGAATCGAACATTTTTGGATTTTATATATATTTATTACCCAGCTCCAAATAGGAATCTCAGCGTCAGTAGTTGCCAGTACTGATGTGAAAATCCAGTTGCCAATGTCATAACGGAAAAGAACACGACGCTGATAGCATACATACGAACTCTGTAAAAAGGATTAAATATAACATTTCAGATTATTAAAATAACATTAGATATGAGTAAATCGATAATAACAATACGTTTCTAAGTGGTTCGAAATGATAAAAATGTAAAATAAAGAAAATTGGGCTTTCATATGGGTCACGTGACAAAGAGCATGTGGTGTGTTGCAAGTCCTATAGTTATTCGAAATGCACGATACTGAGGTTTCGGTATTTATTTTGAATGCATAGACATTACAGTAACATATTCTTGATGAAGAAAGTTAGAAATTTAAATAAATTCATCGAATTATTATAATGATACGTAATTTCAGGCACAGCGGTACTGAGCTGGGCTAGGCCTTGTAAATGTTTAATTAAATTTAATAATATAAAAACTAAATATTATTTGAAATGAATTTCGTTCTTGAAACAGGTTACCGAATGAAAGTCGAGTAAACCAATCATGACAACTTCCAAAACAATACCACTCTATATTTGTGTCATATAGAAGCGAATACTATAGAAACGTTGTTTGAAATATGATAAACATGTTTGAGCAGACCGCGCATTACCACGCTTCCAATATAATGTGTCAACAAAGACAATATTTATTTTTTGCTGTTGAAAATTATGCCAAGTCATTGATAAAGCATACACCGGAATATACCTTGATATTGCTTTAGTCGTTTATTCAGTTTTTCATCTGATTCACATTTGCCAAACACGGTCATCAATAACACTAATTTATGTTTAAAATTATTTATTTTTCAGTTTTTTATAAAGTTTTTTTCCAACATTAAATATAAGGGTCAACGTTTACATAATTATACCACTTCAGGGGTTATGTTTTAGAAAGAAAAAATACCAATATTATAGGTGTTTGTTTGATTCCAAACTGTTGTAATGTTTTCACTTCATTACAAATTATCAACACCAAATTGAAAATTTCACTTTTTGGCAATGCATATTTTTCAAAAAGGTTTTCAATTTTTTTGCTGTTTATTTCACAAATACCTGTTATATCTATCACCTAAAATTCCAAAAATGACACCGACGACTGTAAAGATAACCACATATGTTGGTCCGGCAAGAATCTGATATTCAATTCCTTGCCCAGTGTAATCCCATGAGCAGGTCTTGCTATTCGACGCATTGATACACCTGGAATTGTCAAAACATAAGATTACTATGCTTTAGTGCAGGGGTGTGCAAAGTGCGGCTCGCGGGCCAAATGCGGCCCGCAAGGGAAAATTGTGCGACCCGCGGAGAAGTGCTAACTTCGAATGGTGTCCAGCCAGCGGAACGATTTATTTTAATCCGGTTCCCTTTCCGTGGCAAAGCTTATATCCGACTCCAATTCATTATCTATGCATATGGCGTTACAATTTCGGCTCAACATATTTTTTCCAAAGTGGGCCTTATAAAACCGCCTGAATGACAAAGCCTTGGAAATGGATATCGGATTACTAGCACTTATATTAAAGCAAATTTGGATAAAGGTAGTCGGGAAAATAATCCAGCAGCAAATTTCTCACTCAATTTGTTTGAATTTGAAAAAAGGATTTCAAACATTTTTGCGTTTCAACTCATCTTTCCTGCAAGGACCTCCGATAACGCCATAAGATCAATACAAAAAAGACACTATTCTGTGTCTGCAACTGATAGAGAGCTTATGTTAAATGAAGGTGCGGCCCGCGGTTTTACCCAGTTATCAATATCTGGCTCGCCTACGAAAAAGGTTGCGCAACCCTGCTTTAGTTTATTAACTTTCGAAGATTGATGGATTGAAAATATTATCGAATCATACGTACAATTGAAAGATAGGGCATACCCAGATAGTAATCTAATAAATCATTGGTATTCATCATTTCATTAAACTGATTATTCGGTTTGGAAAAATTGCGAACAAAAATGATTTTTCTACTATACTATAATACTATAACTAGTACTATAATTCTAGCGGAAAATCAAGGTAGATTCATTTGGGGCTGGCCTTGCGCGGCCAATACATAATTTCTAATTGAGATTTATCAATATATACTAACGTATTATCATCACCGAGTCGGCAAATTATGACATTCTTTCAAATCAATCATAAAGTGTTTGCTTCATGTCATCTCCAATTACACACCTCTATCATTTTCGTCAGTGGAGGTTTTATAATATTTCCTCATATTTAGGGTAGTGGATATATTTTCAAATTTGATCGTATTTTGTCCTCAAAATCATCGAAAAATATGAAATTGCGACAAAATTATTCCAAAACTGATTCGCAAACTACATTCAATTCGATGACTCATGCACGCAAAATTTTAAGTTTGTTTTTCCAAGAATCTATTCGTATCTGTCTCAGACTGCATGGAACAAGTTGGCGCAGTCTGATCACGTTTGCAAATGAAAAAACAAAGAAGGTCATTGAAGGCCAGACAGATTGGACTTTACGTACGTTGTATACGTAGAGGACGCATCACATATAGACGGCCACTGCGTCATACATATCATGAAAAATTACACCACCTTGAAATGCATTTAAACTTTGGCGATATAATTAATTCCATTCAAACTTCAGTACCGAGCTACCACTTTACGACCGTCGACAGTGATAAATTTCATTATAAAAAGAAGTTGACAGGATATTTAAAGATGAAGATAAAGATAAATTATTATAGGTTCCAGTCTTGTTATACTTGCCTATACAAAGTATTTGGCTACAAAATAGTTTTACAGACAAATAGTTCGTTTACCGATATTGGGTATTTATTTATTGTTACCTTGATTCATTTGATATCGATGTACACTGCTTTTGATAATCTTCTTCAAGGCTTTGATTTTTTGCTAAACACCCTTTGTCGCCAAATCCAACATCTTGTGCCATGGGACGAGACGTCACAGCAAGAAGATAATGTCCGAGTTCTCCACATCCATATCCCAACATTAATGGTATAAGATATAACCACATAGTTTTTCAGTCTTTTACATTCACTAAATTAAACACAAACTAGCTGACTGGATCTTTTACAACTGAAAAACGTTTCAAAATTATAGAAATCAAATTCATTCATCATTGACTAATTTCTTTCAATAACAACGGTAACATCGTGATATCAGCGGAAAAGTATCTGCGTCACTATGACAGTACATATGTTACAGAAATTGCTGTTGTAGTGTTTGTACGAAAGATACGGATTTATTTGAAAGCAGAAAGTTTGAATTTTTCTATTAATGTCGTAAGACAATCTCTCGAATCATTGGTTTTTTATTAAGGGCATGATATTCTTTAATCTATTTAGAATTCGAATAAATGAATATTATTGTAATCTTGAAGCTGCAGTGAAATTCCTGGCCGAATTGATTAACCCACTAACCCACCATTAACTTCAAGATGTCAGGTAATTCGTAAAACCAGACTTGCGATCTCATTTCCGTATTATCAATATCGACTTAAAACCCTGGGCCTGCCCTTTTCTGGCGATTACAAGTTCTAAACTATATTATCAAACTTCATATTTAAAACGCTCTAAGGTTTTTTTTTTGCCCGCAACGTGAGAAGACGTAGCAAAAATTTTGTTTGATCACCAATATGAGTAAGACCAGCTTCAATTAATCCATGCACAGCCCAAGGCAGAAGTGGACAATTTTTAGATTATTATCTGTAATCAAATATTTAGCCAATGCAGGCTATTTAGCGTGTTATTTATTACAAGATAATAACTTTTCCTACTAATTCACGCCATAGCGTGATACACGCTTGTTTTGTGGTGAAAAACGGACTGAGGAAGATTGAACATCCATTGGCGAGATTACAGACAAATTACAGTCGCCAATTGTGGGGTAAATGAATATTTGCAGCTTAAGGTCGATATACATTTAAACAAAACCTTCCTGTGGAGCATGAAAATAAAATAATCTGAACTGATATTCCAAATTATTCCTGTGACTCCGGTTTAACTTCTTTCCACCTATAAGATATACTGTACATCTTTCTCGGCGCCAACTGCATTACTTAACGCCTCTTAAAATTTTGATTTTGCTTTTAATTCCAGTGAGCTGTTACGTAACATGACCTAAACCGGACATCTGAACGTTCGTAAGCGTAAGCTGTACGCAATATTGAATGGTATAATAAATGAGCATTCTTATAAAATGGCTACATAGGAAATGTTTGTTCTGAATGAATGAATGAATGACGTCGCATGATAATAGAACTGTTTGTTTATCGTATAACTTGTTTGCAAGGCAGTGAAACAAGAACAGGTGAGAAATTTTTACGATACGACGATAATCCGTACCATTATAGCTCACTGTGAGGTCATTCATATACGTTAAGTTACATACTATAAAAAAGTTGGATTTTCAGTGATGCATTCATGGCCATGAAATAGGTGCTACACACTCACGGAGCTACTATAATTGTGATAGTAGATAATATCATATCCACTAAATTTTACAAATTTTATCATGATTATGGTATTAACTTCCGAAGTGTCTAAAAATAAAATGCAACCGAGTTATATCCACGAACCTAAGGGGTTGCCCAAAGTGACAAAAATTCTTTAAAAATAACTCAAAAAAATGTCAGAAAAAATCTTACTCCATTATTCCTTTAATCAAAAATCTTATTTTTGAATAAAGGAATAATGGAGTAAGATTTTTTCTGACATTTTGATATTCCAAATTTTTCCATAAATATTACTTGGCAACACTTGTTGTGCGCTCATATAACATATTAGATAATTATGACATTTTTTAGATCTGAAATTCGCGAGATATATTTGTGGTTTTCAGAAATGCCATTAATTTCCTAAATTACTTTTATGCTTCGGTGTTTATTGAAGTATTGAAGTTGATTAATTGGAATATTAGTTCCGACACACAATGGCACAAAACCATTAACACGACTTTTAATTAAAACAAAACAATCGGTTCCGAAAATCACATTCATTATAAAATCGATAGCTTTCAATAAATTCGCGACAGCCACTAACCTACTAAATAGATAATTTTTGACTTTTATTTATCATGAAAAAATGATGAAACGTTCGAACAAAGCTGAGCCCAACTTGTCTATGAACTTCCGTGTTCCGCGTCAATTAATTAATGGAGAATATTTGTTGTGAATATGGCATTTTTTGCAAAATACCAATAATATATTAGAATGATTGGTAATTCGAATAATAATACACCCAGGCTTACGTGACATGGGTGAATTCTTCTTGAATATACATAATAACTCTATATAATTCAACGAGATGTCATGTTTCAATTAATGTTGTGCAAAACTCACAGAATGACATCATTTTACTAATACAATTTTCTGTATTAACATAAATGTCAAATGTCGTTATAAATTTCGGTATGGTTGATATCATTTACGTCAAAGGGCCAAGAAGTTTCTTTTTCCACATGTATTCACATGCAATCGTGAATAAATTTGTGACATCTATTCCAGCGGAAGGGTATTTTGTCAAATATTTTGCCAAAAATATATCATGGATTTGTGATGCATCTTATTTAGTAAGAAAAAGTTTGGAAGCATATGCATCATGCTTTTGAGTTCAATGGTATAACGAACCTAACATCTGAATAAAAATAGACATGTCAGTCGCAAAACATAATTAAAATATATCAAACATATGGTAATGACGATATCTAATCAATGAACTAAATACGTGGAATATTGTGAAAATATAGTGGAAGTACAATCAAAATAGAATATTGAACAAATCAGAATTTCAACTTCACGATCGTTCTAAAAGTAATAACATCAATGTACGTAGGTTCATAGAGTAATTCATCAAATATGTAGGCGACTATGAAAAATGCGTAATCCGAGAGAATTGTCTGATCGGTCGAGACATTACTTAACGTCACAGAATAAATTATTGGAATACGAGAGAGACATATATAATATTCCTGCCATGCCATGAAACGACAGTTTTAAAACCGATTTCTTTTGACATAGACGTTGCGACATTCTAACCTTAGAACGAGAAAATGTTGAAACTATTGCAATTGCTCGTAGTTTGTCTGTTAATTATATCAGTATTATCGGCAAAGAAAAAACCAGCTGCTAGGAGAAGCGATGTACCGAAGCGAATTCAGGCTATGAAGAAGGAGTCGAATATCAATATACAACTTGTACGAACGACAAGGGTAGAAATTGGATTTTCTTTTATTCAAGGAGCTTCTGGGTTTTTGTAAGCAAAATTTATTATTTTACCCATGATATTAGATTCTCAGTTGAAATTGATAAATAGTGAGCTCAATTATTTAAATATTTTTGTTTGCTCTATCACAAATAATTTGATATAACTATATGTCTATGTATTTGTTATCAATCCATCGATACTACATAAAACTAGTATAAAAATGTTGAAAAATTAATTAAATTTTATTCCCTTAGATAAAATGTAGAAAATATGTAACGATATGTTCAACTTCTCTTACGATTGAAAATTTAAGAACAGGAAATTATCTGAACAAACATTTAATACTAATGTGGTAATGGTATTGTGAGTTGAATAACGTGATGATATTATACTATCTCATTCAGAGTTTCTGCAAAGGAATGGATTGATGGAAAGTTTGAGCAATCTGTAGCAACGGATAGTCAAATACTTAGTGTACAAAAAAGATCTGCCGTTTTGAGAAATCTCATACCCGGGGTAAGTGTATGCTATAAAATTGAAAAATTGGAATAGTAATATTCAATAGATGTATAGTAAGCTATTTTGTACTCGCGTTGAAAATGCTGTTGTTTTATTTGTTTGTTGTGTTTTAGTTGTTCATTTAAATAAAAGTAAATATATCTCCAATAGCATCAACTCATTCGCCCTATTTAAAATGTGTTATAATTTAATGTGCTATTGGTACATTCTACATAATAGGACTCAAACACAGGTAAACTTCAACCGATTGTATTTAAATTCAGAGAATTTTACTAATTGAAAGTGTTCCATGTATGTGCAAAATTTTAACCCAATCCATAGTTTTACCATTCGCACCGTTGCTTTTGAGTTGCGTTTTTTGTGTTAGTACTTTAATTGAACAATTTCTAAAATCAATATTTTGCAAAAAAACAACTGAATACTGAATTTAAGTTTCAAAGTGAAATTTCGCATCAAATACGACAATCAGTTAACCAGCAACTTTCTTTCATTGTAGCGAGAATATGTCATACAAGTCCAAGGCACAAACAAAAATAGACAGCCGATGGGCGCGGTACAAGAAAAACTTGTCCGAACAGCACAGATGTGTTATACATGCAATGGAGTAGAGGCCAATGAAGGTTAGAAAAATGGAATGTGAATGATATCAATAGAATCAATCAAATTAATAAATTTTATGATGAATATGTTATTGTCTTAACAGCGAGTATATATACCGATTAATAATAACAGTAGATCAACATGTGTTCTGTTATCTCGAAACCAAAAAATAGAATATGTAAAATTAGTCATTAAAAACGTACTACAACTGCAAATGACTTAAAAACCATGGGAAAATATATTTAAAAATCTCAATTTCTTGATTTCCTCGAATCAGAAAGTTTTTTCTATATAAATATTGAATATTTTAACATGTATATTACATGAACCATATATGCCTATGCAGCCATATGATTACAAATCCTGTTTCTGAATACAATACACAGGGTGATCAGAAATCCCAATAATAATTTAAAAAAAATTCATTCGATTGATGAACACACTGTATATTTGTTTATTAGTACAAATTATAATTTACCAATCTCATATAACATAACAGACGTATTTTATTTTATGAGAAGAAGAATATTTCAGAATATTAAATTGATTTCAGATTTGATAAAATTGCATGATAAACAAAAAAAATTGTTTGTACGAGACTAAGCTAATCTGCTAATGTACCAGCAATAGAATATGCAAATGCAAATGTTTTTTCTTAATATTAATCTCTTTAAATTCGCAGTTGTTTGTTGTTTGCAAGCTTCTCAGGCACTTAATCTCCTGGCTTAGACATTAATTCTATTACTTGACGCCAGTCAAATGATTTTTAACCTTATTTGGCCTTTTCTGGAATTGTACGAAAATATCAAATAATTTAATACAAACATCGGAAATTGAGATAGCACGCACGAGATTATGAGATTGTTTTTGAATTTTTGATTTGCTATTGTTTGTTTTGTACACAATTTTATTCAATTTCACATTTAAATATCGATTTTTATATTTGGCATGTAGTGGAATTGATGCGAGAAGTATTTCTATGTTTCTTTTTATCATGGGTTAATTATGTAAAATGTGGATTTCTGATGTTTAGGCTTGGACACGTCTTTGGTAAAGATAAAACTATTAAAGTTCATGTAATCGCATTTATCATCGCGATAACGATTAAGAACCTTGTGGGTATGTATGTTTTGATATCAAGTTTAACAAGTTTGAAAATAAAGTTAAGATTAATTATACCAATCGGTAAATATTAATGACAGGCAAATACTGACTCAGACTACTAATTCTTCAGTTGTTAACTGATATTGATCTCAAAATAAGGAAATACGATCCTCTTCATAAGCGAAATTCGTAATTTTTTCCGATATCACATGACGCATATGTAATGAATCAACTTTAGGCATTATGTAGGTGTGCCCACAATGTATTAATTTAACAGCAACATACTTGAGACCGGTTTTGACTTTAGGTCGACGAATTCGTCGAAATATTGTAAAATTAAATTTTCCATGTAATTTTGCAAGTTTACAAGTTTTGATATTTGATAATACGTTAATACCACAAACATATGTAAGTTAGTACCAGTCACATGTCCGATTGTTTTGGGTTTCAGTAGGCGCGGTGTAACAAATTAGGAAATTTGACTAATGAGTTCAAGCCGTCAAGGTGCTATAAAATACCATGAGGAATTTATGCGATCCGCTCGTACCAGTCATCGTGTCGGCATACGCCAGATGAACGCATCATTGTTTCGTGTAGCGAATCGGCCATTTCATATTTTATTAAAATTTTATAGCAAAAAAATTACCTAGTCTAGTGTTCGGCTTATTGTTTGATGCAAATTTTTTCTGTTTTGATGTCATAGGTCAGAACCACCTTATTTTATGTGACGCCTTAAAATAGACGTTTTGGTGCCGCATCGTTTTCATAATTTTATTATTGTTGAAATATATCTATTAAATTTAATCAAGATGCGGTTTTGCCATTTCATCAACATTTTACTGATGTGAAATCATGGCATAATATTCTTTTGGATTTATTATACTCTAACTTCGGGCTATATTTTAGAATTTTATCGTACCGCAATTTATAAACACCAGACAGACGTGATGTTATCATAACAATAACCGAAAGCCCCTCTCACTTCCTAAAATATTTAAAATTTAACAAAATGGATTCGTTCATCACACGCCCACTTATTGGCTGGAGAAACTGAGTCGATTAATACAAACTTCATTTCAATTAATTCTGTACCTTATAATTTTTTATTGTGCATAATTTGTTTTATAGTAATTGTACATATTTGTGAAACATTTATTTTCCCACAGCCAAGTTTACGATTCGTAATGCTGGCCTTTTCAGCAATAAGTGACAGTGCGTACTTTAAACGGTTTAATCGAAAAAGCAATTCACGTGACATAAGCCATATTTTTATATCAGATTACAGTTCGGTTGTGATAGTTGATGTTATTAGTGCAACAAAATATGTAGAAATACATTACCGCTCAAAATCTGACCCTGGGCGAATATCTTCGATTACAGCATGTTAAACTTTACCAGTAGCTTTAAGTTATTTGAATAAATATTCGACTGAATTGTTATATCATTTTAGTATTACCGTTTATGCAAAAGTACATTATTATTCTTTTTGTACAATTTACAATTTCAAATTAATAAATATACACATATATATATGCCTGAAGTTTTTATTAACATTTGGTAAATATTCTTGAATTGGGTGTATAATCCAGTATTATTGTTGAATATGATAATGAACCTGACTGTTTTGTCTCAGGACCACTAATAAATATACAGTGGTGTTTGTAAAATATGCAAAAATGTGAAACATACCACAACAAGTATTTCTATTATTCAGAATGTGACGCAGCAAGAGATGTTGTGGAATGTCCTGCGGATAAAGATGCTTGTCTTAACGTTGTGAGGTTCGATAACGATAAAATGTCGATTACCAAGAGATGTGCACAATATGATCCAAAATTATCAAAAAGTGTCGGAAATTGTGGTAAAACGTATGTACTTTGTCCTGTATATTCAATATTAATACTGCTATATTGTTCTAGTAGAAATATATTAAAAACAGAAAAAGATTTCAACTGTTTTGTAAAAAGTGTGGCGATTTTGTTATTTGTTGTACTTCAATGATCCTTACCATTGAAAGTGTTTTCGAAAAATACTGTCACGTTAGTATTTTTTACATAGATATAATAATCCTCAATATGGTAAAACATTGAAAAACAAATTAACATTCAACAATTTTATAACATTAAAATTCAGACATTAACGTTTATGATACGCTGTATTTTGCTGAATTGTGTGTCTACAAGTTCGTAGTGTAAATTGGGATTATGGAAATTATTAGATTAAGAACGTGATAAGAACCAAAGGTATGGCGCCTGAAGCAAAATAAAAAAGAAAACAAATTAGCATCTAACGCGTTGCTAATATTGTATATTAATATTTTTGTATTGAAGGTTCTGCAAGAATATTCCGCTTTGTCAATAATAGTGTTTTGTGTAATAACAATCTACATCAAATTGTTCTGTTTATCAAACCAAGATAAAATATACAAACATTTTCTAGGTTATGTGTTGCAGGAGTTTGAATAAACACTTTCTTATTGATTATATGACGGTATAAAAACAATTTATTTTTATACCATGCAGCCGATAAAAAAGAGGAACACTTCAAAACTATGCTGTAGATTGTTTTGCTTAATTAGTTCAATCTGATCGCAATTACTCGTGAATGTGCAATAATAATAAAAAAAAATATTAAATAAAAGAAGCTTCACTTATGTTTAGAAAGTTAAACATTGGAATTTTTAACATGACGCGCAATTTATTGCAGTGAATTGTTGTTTACTGTATGGATCTATTTACGATTGATAACATCTGTTTATCAGAGGTTAACCCAAGTAAATTTTTATTGCTGGCATTTTGTCAAATGTGTTTCTGAATTCAAAATGATAGAAATCTTCATCCGACATTTGCGTAAACGACAGATAAACAGTTTAATAGTAAATTACCTTTTGCTCGGGTTATATAGGATAAATTCGTTACTATGAAGAGCCGCACAAGTACATTTTATAATATTTCTGAGTCATAATATTGTTTGTGATTTTACTTATTCTAGAAGAAAGAATTCCGTTTGTAAATGCATGTGTAGAAGTAATAACTGCAATCAACTGATGTTACCCTGTGTTGACGGTGAGTTAATTTTCTCTATCTATATATATATCAAAATATCCCTATATATCATGTCTCACGATAGCTAAATTTCTTCATATCAGTCAATAGGAATGTTTCTAGATTTTCATCAGAAAGTTGAGCGATGAAACACTTTGATGCCAAACCTATTTTTATTTTATTTTTCTGATTTATAGAAAATGTAAGACTTGCGATCGCGGATGAAAGTTATTTTTATCTGATTTGTAAAATATAATTAATGAATACTATGCACTACTATGAATTTTTCTTTTATTTGAAAATATCTGAATTCGCACGAATTTATATCCACGAGTTTCAATGACGTTAACGTTGACATTTAAATATGACGTTGATCTGGTTTGTGCCCTGAAGTATTGCAATGGCATAACATTTTTTAACAGTTTGGCCCGCATTCAAAGATGCTGGTTTGTAGATTTTCATAATGTCCGAGGGCCTAAAAAATATTCCGAATGAGTACATTTATAAAACAATTGGTGATTCATTGGAGTAAATTGTAAATAGGCAAAATAAGGAATATTTTGTCTCATCCTTCAAAATGTAAATAGTAAGTTTGGCAGCTCGGAGGCAATCAATTTTGCATGTTTACTGACAAGCTTATCAGAATAATTCTCGAAATTGATCCCAATAGAAAAATTAGTCAAAGTAAATTTGTGAATGCTCATGTAGCAAAATTATGGCAAACAATAAAACGAAATTGATTGAACTATGATACTCATTAAATGTATATCGCAAATATAAATATCAAACCAACTATGTAACCTCAAAATATATGTTTTGTTCTATACTTTACCACCATGAATGAATAGTCTGTATTTGATATAAAGTATATAGAACTTATCCCTTTTTCCGAAATTTTTAATATCCCATAAAAATCTAAAATAAACCATTACGTCAAAATATTTTGATAGTCATTCGCATTTATTATAATAAGTTCACACAACTAACAATTCGACTACCTTGAACCGAGTTGATTGTGGTTTTTGTTGTTTCTAGAATGCATGGATGAACTCCCGAATCCTCTGAGAAGTACTATAAAATGTACAAATAAGAACAAAGTAGGATCCGAGTGCAATTGGGCATGTGATTTGGGTTTTAAACTGAAAGGATTGAGGGCAACCAAATGTAGACCAGATAGGACTTGGAGTGTTATGAGTCCACCAGAATGTGTTATCGACAGTAAGTATATCATTTTATGTTTTATAGTTTTCTGTCTGACGTGGGCTAGTAGGTGGACACGGAGAAAAATACCAAATTGATCTCTGAATCATTGATACTGTAATTAAAATAGGAAATTTACAATAATGTGTTTTGAATTGCAATTTAATTTTATCTTCTCAACATAGTGTAATTGAAACTGTCGACAAGAATAAACTGTCTGTATTGCGTTGGAAATATGTCTATTTTATCGCAAGTTCTTCGTATTATCTATATTTGACTCCATGTTATAAATTTTCAGCAAATCCACGGCCAATACAACCTCGTAAATGTAAACCAGTTCCACGAAATATTAATGCGAATGTCAGGTGCACCAGGTCGTTCAATCAAGGGTCGGTTTGTAAATTCACCTGTAAAACGTGAGTGTCTTGATTTTTGTTTCCTTAAAGTTTGTTTTAATAAAGTACTGATATAGGTTATGTTTAAGTTGATTTGAAGTAATTAATATTCCTACTTTAAAATAATTTTAGTTATGTTGACATCAAAGTGAGATGCTCTGAAATGAAAGTGCGTCACTTTGTGGTCTGTATTTTATTATAGGTCGAGAATATATTAATTCGGTTCACAATTCATTCTATATGTGTTGCTTTTCTCGGCAGCATTATTTCTATGATTTGACTCTACTTGTCTAGACAGGTCACAATACGGCATTATATTAATACATTGTGTCATTAAAGGTGATTTGCCGTCCGACAGAAATACAATTAGGAAACATATTGGTGGTATTTTGAAATGTCTATTGATATATATATATTGCCAATCATATTTGGGATTTCAATTATTTTTCCAATGACTTTGACATAAAAATATCACCAGCATAGCGTGTGAGCATTGAAAATACACTATTTCATATATAGCTATTCTCGAGTAACAGTAATATATATTTTTTGTACCCTTTTTTGTTTTCGAAAAACATTAAATAAATATCTTTATATTTTAGTGGATTTTCAAAAGCTGGTGGTTCTAACGAGATGATATGCAGGAACAAAAAATGGACAGGCTCTCCAATTTTATGTGCAAGTAAGTTACTAAAAATTCATATTAAATAATTACAATCTTCAAGCTGGACAACTTTATGTAGATTTTATAACTCCTCATGTTGTAAGAATTTTGATGAAAGATATAGAAAATAAATGATATTTTTGTACTATTAATAAACCATAAGTGAAACAGGGTGGTAATTTTGTTCAAACATTTCTGACATGTAGCAAATACCAACATCGTCCAAAATATAATATAATCAATTTTCAGAGTACTATCGAAGTATTAATTCTAGAGAACACGAAGGGGATATTTCTTTTGGATTGAGTTTTATGTTTGGCTCCAAGCCGCATGGAATTAGTTATCAGACATCCTGATTTAATTAATATATTCAATACAGCAAAATTAATAACTTGGCAATCAATAATTTCACATCGTGTTTCCGTTCAAAGTCAAGATATAACTAATTTGCGTTAGTTAATTTTGATCATTGATGCATCACTTTATCATTACATACAAAATGTTGAAAATATAGAAAGTTTAAAATTATAGTTAGCTTGCTTATTTAATGTTTATCTATGCTTATTACACCAAAGTAGCATTTGTGACTAGGGTTTCGTTCAAGCAGCCATAGAAACAATTATTATCATATGTCTCGGTATATAATAATAATTGCTGAGATTCATTATTAAATTGATTATTTTTCTTGTGATTGCTATAATGATTGATTGCCAAAACCCAAAATTATCGCATGCTGGCATCCTACCCAACTTTTGATGAAATCATCAAAAGTTTTTGTGATTACTTTCTTGTTTCACAATTTGTGATTTTCCTATTCCAACAGAATGATTTGAATGGAATTCACTTTTATGGCCTTATAATCAATTTATCTTTTCAGTTTCAAACCTTTAAAAAATAGCTTCAAAGTTTTATCATCTTAAATATTAAATCACAGGATTTATTAAAATCAGTTTTTGCACTAGTAGTAAATTTTACAGAAAAGAAACCAAAAACGACAACAACCACTACTGAAGCTACGACTACAGCAACAACAACGACTACAAAATCTACAACAACAACAACAACAACTACCCCAACGACTACTACAACCACCGAAGCACCGACTACGACAACTACAACGCCAACTACTACCACAACCATAACTACTACACAAGCTCCTCCTACTACCACAAAGCCTGTGCGGGCGACGAGAAAAGTTCCAAGGAGAAGAACAAGTCCTTCACGTAGACCAAGACCCAAAGGCGCATTAAAACGTCCTCGTGGAAATGGTCCTTCAAGGAGTAGAACCAAAACAAGTACTACGCTTAAGCCGACTACTATAAAAATAACTACAACACAAGCGCCAACCACCACTTTATCTACTACCACTACGACTATACCCAGTACTACAACTACCATAACCGCATCCACTACTACAATAAAGGCAACAGTACCTACCACCACAAAACGGCAGCGAAAAACTCCGCGTGTCAAACCCACAAGGAAACCACGAAAGAATCCAAGAACATTTATTACAACAAGACGTGCCCGTAGAAAAACAACCACAGCAAAACCAATTTTAACAACTATGAAAACTACAACAACACCAACAACAACCACAACTACGACTACACCAACAACAACATCGACTACAACCCCTACCACTTCAGCTCCAACAACAGTCACTACTACTCCGGCAACAACCACTACACCAACAACTACTATCAAAACTACTACTCCGGCAACAACCACTACACCAACAACTACTATCAAAACTACTACTACGGCAACAACCACTACACCAACAACTACTATCAAAACTACGACTAGTACTCGCAGAACTAAGCCTCGTACTACATCTGTTACCACTACTCCAACGACTATAACTACAAAACCCATCACAATAATAACAAAGACCAAAAATCGTAGAACAAGGCCTCGTACTACTCCTATTACAGATGTGCTTTACAGTTCAACATCGGAACTCACAACTGTAACAGATATTACAAAACGTATCAGACGAACGAGGAAGCCGAAAACACTTCCTACAGAAACAACGCCTATGATGTTAAATACAACAGTCCTTGAGTTCAGTGCAAGATATCCAGTTTTAGGACCTGTCCACGATGTTGCTTTTATGGAAGAAGGTATCAGCCCAGAAAATCCTAATCCAAAACCTGCTTGCAAAATGAGTTATGTTATGTACAGAAATGCGTATCTCAAGGGTGTCGTGGATCCAAATTATATTAGTTATCGAGGAGGAACATTAGAAGATTGTGAAAAAAGGTGTTGCTACGAAACCAAAATTCCATGCAAATCGTTCACCTACTATGCGACAGTCAAAATGTGCTTTATTATGGATGTTACCGAATTTGACAAGGGCGTTAAGCTCAGGCCAATTCCTGGGTACAGACATGCCCTGCGGGTGGATGATGCCCAAATAGCAGAAAAACTTGCGAATAGGGCTCCATAATTTTCAAATGTGGTATTAACCAGGGAATAATATACATAATGTTTGCTTTTTACTGTCGTTTTTTGTATATATTTTAAATTCATTTTAGTTTTGTTTATTTTTTCTTAGAGCAAATAATTTAACTGTATAATAAATTCAGATACCGGATATTTATAATTTTACATTCGGCAAAAAATTTGTTAGGCTGACAGTTGACTGAGACATATTACAAATGTAGTCCTGTAGTCTGAATGAACGCTGGAAACATTATTCTTGAATACAAATTTTTATTAAAGCGAGAATACAGTATTTAAAAAACTTGTAGTGGGGTGATTAATGTTAGTAATCATTATACTATCAACTCTCCAATATTTATATCCAATTCTTTTGTTTCATATCAATGACTTTTTGTTATACCTATTTGTGTCTTCCAATTTTTAAAAGTTGCTTTCAATTTTATCATTTTACCATTCTACTTATTCTGCATATTTTGTGATTAAAACTATCCGAAAAATGGCTTATGAATGGCTTATTCTTATGGCTTATGCTCTTTCGACTGGCAGCAAATAAGTTCAAATCTTTCCTAATCAACATTTCTCTACGAAACAGTGTATCGATACAAGCTGAATATGCAATCTAAATTTCTATGAAGATATCTAAATGTCTTTGCAATGCTCTTAACATATCTTTTCCTGTACAATAGTAAGTGATGTTGCATGAACTATTTCTATACTATAAAAATAAAAAGGACGACTAACGACAATCACCTAGTCATGTCGGTAATTGTTCTGAATTTTTCTCTTAATATCAATGTTTTCGCTAGTTTCGTTTCCGCAATTTGAACTTTGTTGCACACGGTCAAACTGCCAGTGCTTTCTTCTGAGGAAATTCAAGTTGGCAGAAACGGTAATTCGCGAAAAAGCATACAACATTCTTCCTGCAATTTTCTGAACTGAAAAATGATTTAAAAGATTTCAGGGTGCTGGTGTTCTATGATTTATATTTTAATTTGGTGAATAATATATATCAAACATAAAATGATATATCATGAATGCGGATATTCCAATCAAACAAATAAAAAATTTAGCATAATTTAATGTCAAATTGCAAACTTGATAATAAATAATTTCGAAACAATTTTTGCAATCAAAAAAATGAATAAAAATATTTTTTTTATAGAAGAAAGTGGAATTCTTTGCCCTTCTGTATCCATGACTTCCGGTCTCGTGGAATGCAGCAATTCCAGAAATGTTGGCTCGATATGCAACATTGTGACGCCCTCGACAATGACTTGTCAGGGAGACGGACATTGGCAATCATCCCACACATGCACACAAGTTGGTGAGTTTTACAATGTTTTATCACCTCCGCAGTCATTGCGTTTTTTATAAATGCATATATAAATATTCAAATGTTAAAGATAATTTAAATTTTTACTTACACGAAAAAGGAAATCGAACATTTTTTTTATATTTGTTGATCAATTTCTGACAATAGTCATTCACTTAAGAATTTGTATATTATGATAACACATTACGTGCTAAATTTACTTACAAGTTGCCAGAGACCCGAATATACATACATATGGTATGATCATTAAATAAAATAAAATAAAATATTTTTCCAACACTCAGGATACTATGATGTTAAATCGATGTTTGGATCATGCGAAACTCTCAAGTCTCCAGACTTCGGATCGATCAAATGCTCAAAGGAAAACGATAATGGATCAATCTGCAAATATATTTGTGCAAAGTGAGAAAAACAATTGTAAATTTTCTTCAGTTTAAGTATTTTTTCGGTACTCTTGTAGTATGCGACCAAGATGGGAGACACCGGAACGTGGTATGTGTAGCAGGTTAGGGTTGGACAGTAATTTTAATCAAATGTTCCTTATTTTAGTTCTATTACGAGTTCTGGGACTAGCCAAGTGACTCCAGTAATATTTGTACTTGAAATTATGACCTAACCCTAACCTGGTACACATACTACGTTTCGGTGTCCGCCATTTTGGTTCACATACTAGGAGGAGTTGGTCCAGATAAACAGAATTATAAATTTTCTTCTGTTCAAGTTTTTTATCAAGTGACTTAATACGTTTTTTCCAATTTAATTCACTCAATCTCCTTACTACATTAAATCGAGTAAACAATCTGTTATTTGATAACAAAATTCAATTAAGTCTCCTTTCTGACTTTGTGCTTCAAAATCAATCAATCATTGAAGTGACTCTAATCTTATCAGACTATTACGTTATAAATCCAGTTTACATTTTTATATTCAAAATTACCAGCTCATTTTATCAAAAAACTTGCAAAAATACGAACTTAAAAGATAACTTATGACTTTGCGAAGTCTACGTTCATAATAGCAATTTATCAGTCGCTTCTTTAGTCTAAATTTGCATATAGCTATGTGAGCAAACGCTGCGGGAAAAGTCGCGCTTATCATGCTATTAATCAAAATGCTTCTGGCAGAAATAAGACAAGTTCCAAAAATATTTTCTAATACCTTGATTTTTTTAATTTTAATCCAGCCTTACCATCAGTGTTATAATTGCTTGGTTGTTCTGATAGATATATCAATTTGCTGGCAGTTTAGTAAATAAGGTTATATAATATTTTCCCTTAATCAGAAGAAGTCGCAAACATTGGAAGAAGTATAACATATAATTTTTATCAAATCGATGTCATTTTATAAAGTCGTTGATCCTTATTTCTAGTTATATAAATGTTATTGGATTTGGTTCGAAGTCGATAAATAATAACTAAAACCTTCCTCACTGCTGATGTATGAATTGGTTTGCACGAATCCACATGATTCACATATTTGTATTAAGTATTTCGAAAATACAGCATATAAATTGCCTACAATAAGAAAATGTCAAAATGCCATAATGTTGTTGTTGCTAATGCTTTATCGATTTTTCTATCGATAACATGTGTCAAAAGGATATAGTTTTGTGAATAAAAGACCTAATTGTGTAAGATAGTTATCTAAATAACGCAGTATTGGTCAATGCTCAACATGAATTGCGATTATAGTACATATTTTGTATTGAGAAAGTCATCTAGTGACATTTTAATGCTGTAATTGGTCCATTTGGGCATAACAGTAAATCTAAAAAATTTATTGGCGCAGAATTGTTGGTGAAATATAATGAACTGTCAAAGAAGTGCTTAAAACGGAGTAAATTATTTTTTTAAATCTACTAAAATCTATGCGTCAGATCTATGCGTATACAAATATATATATATATATATATATACGCATAAATCTGACCTTGCTCCGAAAGGATGTGTGTATCTATAAAAATGACGTTGTACCTGTATTAAATACACTTCTTCAATAATTTAATGCAGGGGTGCACAACCTTTTTGCTATTGGCGGCCACATTGCATTTATTTGTATTCAATAGGGCCCCCAGGACTACTTGGAAGTATAATATTCGCATTTTAAACGGATTTTTCTTCTCGGTAGACCTATTCTTGAGCAGATATATTGCAGCAAGTTGCATAATGGTTGCACAATTTTAAAAAAAATCGAAACTTAGGGAGGGTGGGAGGGGCGGTCGCCCAAATTGTGACGCATCGTGTCCTTTTTTGCAGTGCTTTTGTTTTGCTTCAATATACGCCAGCATAGCCGCCAAATCCTATATTTTGAACCTTTTTTGAATTTATTTTTATAGGATTTTGAATGTGGACGGCCGCATTATTTTTTCCCGACGGCCGCAGGTTGTGCACCGTTGATTTAATGTTACACCCTTATGCACGTGAAATTAATGAATATTTTATTTATTGAAAAATGAAGCTGACTGCAAAGTGTCAAATATTGACAAATTACTTCCGTATTTGGCGTAATAGTTGGTTTAACAACTCTATTACATTCTTTTATCAATGCAGTGGCTACACCATGCTTGGAGAAACTCCTCATCGTGAATGTGTAAATGGCAAATGGACTGGATCTCCTGCCATATGTCAAGAAAGATTATGTGGCGATGTTGCAAACCAACCATTGGTTGAAAGTGTTCTGAAGTGTTCACATGATGACAGAATTGGATCAGTTTGTGAAGTTCTCACACCAGCAAGCATGACTTGCCAATCGGACGGCGTATGGTCAATGCCATTCAAGGCCGCACCAAAATGCAAAGGTAAGCTATTGTTTCTGTTCGTTTTTTATAATTAAAATTAGTGCGCAAATCATTACAAAGCTGCTTTATATTCATAAAACAAAAATATATGTTATATGATTTGTTTTTGTTTTGCTTTAAATTCATTTACCAAGCCAGGGTGTTGTATTGTTATTACTGCTGTTGTATCGAGATATCATAATTTGGATTCTTTGAAAATTCACCACTTAAATATAAATAAAATAAAGTCAAAGTTTATTATATAATGCAAATAATAGTATCACAATACCTATAATAAACAAAAAAAAATTAATTTCAGAGTGCAGCTGCCCATAGACGAGAAGTAAAGAACGTGTAGAATGTTGCATTTTTGACAACAGTGAATATTATGTTATTGTAATTTATATCGTACCATATTGTTATCAAGTGAATGTTGTAGTTTATGTGTTAGTAGTCATTGTAATAAATAAATAATTTGAGAAGAAATGTGTGCACAATTCATTGCAAAATATTTACTATTATTGATTACTCTCGTTGTAGAAGACGCGAAAACATCAGTATTAATTGTCTTGTCATTCTCAAGTATGCCATTTTTTTCTAAAATGGTTTAATTTTGTCTTATCTAAAAATGAAATATTGATCTATTTTGTAAGGTGCCAAATTATATCTACCATCGAGACTTCTAGAATATAGGACGACGTCATATATAACCGACAGCTTTGCATAATGATAGCTTTATTTACAATCAGGCATTTCTATGCAACATTAAATAAAAATTTATATATCAAATATACAAGAATTAAAATTTGCCTCTATTTCAATACTTAAAAGTAATGTTGCATTAATATTTTAGCCGTAGCATAAATTCAATGTAACACACAATATAATAAGACAGGTGAATATCAGCTATAATAAAAATGGAATGAATAATTGCTACATTTACTAGCAGAGTTTTGAACTTAAACATGTATTGTTAGTTTTGAAATACTTCAAAGACATTGTTTCGAAATATTTAAATATAGAACTAAATGTAGCAGGCGTGGATTTGAATCAGAGATAAGATTGAGAAAAAATTACTAAAAAATGATTTTAGAATGTGAAATTTGAAATTTACAAAAGAAATATGAATTAATCATTTTCCTTATCTTTCACTATTTCAAAAAAAATTTAACAAATACTAGTGAATATTTTCATCTCTCTATTTCGTCATCATCAATGGTAATCATGGCTTCAAATTGTGCTTTTGATCTGCGCAAATCTTCTTTCATGAAACCTAAGAAAATCGAACAAGAATTATGTAGGACATCGATAATTTTGTTTTTTATTTAAGCGAGAACAATTTTAAAACTAATCATTTTGGATACACAAAATTGTTGTCAAAGGTCTTTTTTCTTGGTAAAATAAAAAACATTGATAGCATTATTGAGTAAACTAGATATAAAATGCGGCCTTGGTTTGAAGATATACATATTAAATTGTGATGATTAATTATGTTATTATTGGTAGTTTTTTTGGCCTTTGAATAGGTAAAGTGATATATAAGTTAAAATTAATACATAAGATCTCGTTATGCACATATTTTTCAGGTAAATTGAAATAAAATGAAAAATCCAAATTAGTTTAACCTTATGACCGTTTGAAACTTACTATTTTTTGTAAACCGACACGTTCCCAAGAAAACTTAGTTTGGGTATAATACACTCACATGACGTCGCTCAATATTTGATTGAACATTTTACTCACGCAAAATAGTTGTCGAGTTATTAGTATCGTCCAATAAATTTTTATAATGAATTAATTAATATTTAAATCATTTAATTCAACTACTCACATGTGAAAATGAACGCAATAATAAGACAAGAAGACACGAAGACATTCAGGTATAGATTGGTGAATGTCAAAAGAAAACGGAAAACTTGTATGAAGATTGTTGTGAACAGCTGTAAAACAATTCACTGTAAAATAACGGCATCAAATATGTAAATATAAAAATCTGTCTTAATCATTACCATTTGGAGCACAAAGTAAATAAATGTTATATCAATAGGCGCATTTCTATAAATTGGGAATTTATTATCTACAATCTACATGGTCATAAGTTGTTTTAAAATGACATTTAATTAGTTGATTTTCAAATACACATACAAATCTATAACATGTCAGTATCAAATAAATGCTTTAATATACTCCAGCAATAAACAATATTTTACTTTTGACCCGACAATAATTATCATTTTCTTACCGACATGGACCAAACAAGCAATCCTGATGAAGTTCCTTCCGGAATCGGGTACGTCATTTCCGCTGCGGTTTCCAAGCCAACTGACATTTTACCTGTCAATCCAAATCTACACAAGAGAAGCAAATGTAAATAGATTTTTAGGGTCATCAATTTATAATTTGCAACAGCATACAATGCACTCGATATCACGAAACTATGAAAAACTAGCATTGGTGTGATCCATTTGTAATGCACGGCCTTTACTAAAATTTTGGCAATGAAAAAAGGTATATTTAAAAACAATTGTGCTGGGGGCCAGTTTTCATTATCAACTTTTTTGATTCCCGGGCAAAAATCAATTCAAATCATTACGATATTGTTCGAGGTCGTTATCATTTTTCGCTGTGAATGCACGTAGCATTTCGTCATTTCAAATCAATGTAATATGGCCCAAAATCGTTACTATACAATATTTTGGCCCATCGAGTACTGTTCATAATAATAAAACTTACCCAAGCAGACCCACTGATACCCACGTCAACCACATGATTTTTGTTTCCATAGCAAATATCAGCATCATCGAAGATAAAATAGAGATAAAATGGATCAATCCAAGGATCCATCTAAAACAAATTTACTGGATCAGAAATTTATCGACAAATTCACAATAAATGTGGATAAAAATTATCTTCCTTGGCTTGAAATTGTAATATCGCTTTGTATAGTATATCACAGAGTAAACTTGGGCAGATTAATTTGGGAAGTTTGAACAAGCATCTGTTATAGCATAATTCAAAACATATTCTGGACATCAAAACATAATCTAACAATCACTCACATAAACTTCTTGGTGTAATCCAATAAAAGTCCAAAAATAATTGGAGCAGGCGTTCCCACCAGAATCATGAAAGCCACTATTTGACCTGTTGTAAAATGATTTATTCCCTCTTCCTAAATGCAATGAAACACTTAGTGCACTTATGACCTAGGATATTTCGTAGAAAACATCCGCCAATAAAAACACCCCCACCACCACTAAAAGGGCGATCGCATTCTGAAGTGCTCAATGGGGGTGGGGTATTATTTAAAATCTCACCTTTTTGCACTATTGGCGGGTACTTTCTACACATGTACAAACACAAAATATACTTCAGTTATACCCTCTCGTTAGCACCGAAAACTATCGATGGCGAAATGTTTCAATATTATCGAAATTAAAAATAAAATTATATCATGAAAAGCACATGATCCTCAAACTGGGGGAAAATTTGAAATACAGAGATAATTTTTTTTTTTTCAAACAATAACATGTCCAACAATTAACAAATTACCGAACGATCCGAAGGTGGACTACCCAAGCCGCAAGCTCGCAGGATATTTGAGGTTTGCATTTCGATAATTGAATATATATGCACGATGGTTAATTTTTTGAATATAAGCATTCATTTATAAACATTCATTCATTCATCAGGTTCAACTAACGAGTTATCAATTTAAAGTCATATAAAAAATCGATAGTTTCATCTTAAACTTACCAGAAAGTTATGATAGACTATGATCTTGAAAAGAGAGTGCAATGCACTGAAGATTCCGAAGTCAATGCCTGTGATATTCATTGTTGAAAAATGTTTAATAAGTTGCATTCACAAATAATAAATATTTAAGACACATAATATAGGGCAAGTTTAAGATAAACGTTCATGTTCATCTCAGTACTGTCTTTGTTTACATACATTATTATGAAAGTAAAATTACGTTTCAGCAAATTACGTCAGAGAAATATTCTGGATAACAAAAGCTAACGGTAGCATGATTAAAAAAAATAATTGTGAATACTTCCGAAGATTGAAATCAATATTCGAAAAAATTAAATTCTGCACGGTTCTAGTAATTTGAGTTTACCATAGGAGAAAAAAAGAAGAACAAAATTCTTATTTGTCATAAGATCCTTCAATGATTGTAAATAAGATGGTATCGGTTGGCTTCCACTATCGTCATCAAGCTGAACTTCAACAGCTGGTTCTTTGAATGCTACAAAAACATGAGAAATTGAAAACTGAAATAGTTTTTGAAGTTTAGTTAGTAAAGATACATGGTGACCAAAATAATGGCACCTACGCCATTTTTCAGGCCACCCTGTATATTTATTAACAATAATTTATCAGAATAAATTAGCATTTCAATATTATATGACATACATTATTTTATTTATATTTGTCACAATAACATTTAGCGGAAAAGACGGGAGTTTTTATTGTCTCGATACAATTATAGTCACACTACGCCCTATAGCATAAATTTTATTACGGTAAACTTAAATTTCAGTCGTCAAGTCAAAAGTTCGAAATTCGATTGATTTGATAACTTGGACGCCCGAGAAAAAGGTAACGAGGTAAATTTTTATTATATTATAAAACCTATATGAGGATAAAACGTCGTATTGACGGTTACGTAGAGTTTATACAACATTTCGCATTTCATACTTAAATACTGCAGAAAATTATACAACTAACAGTGTTTTTATTAAACTTTATTTCGACATTTAGTTTCTGTAATAACCTACCAATTTGAACAAAAACATAAACAATTATTCCACACAAGGCGACTGCTGCAAATGTTGTCACAACATTTTTGCCCAGTGTTCCATGAAATTCTTCAGTCTTCTTTAAAAATGGAGGTATTAACAAGGCTATTCCATTCCCCAGCTAAAAACAATATAAATTACATGAATCAGTATTGTTGTATAACATATGTTTCCTAATAGATTTACATAATGCTCAAAATTTCTGAACAGCTTTAGCTGCTAACTTGACTTCTGTATATAAGATAATAACATATAAACATTATTAGCTGAAAATTATCATTGGTAAAAAATGAATGTGTTGCAAATTTATTTGATAATCGGACTACAGCGAGAACCAAATTTGACTACCAAAGTTTTAGAAAATATAACCTACTTCATAGAAAAACACAATCGTTCCCGAAGCAGTTGAAACTTCATTTGATGGAAACCAGCTTCCGGCAAGTAGAGAAGGAAGGCAAAGAACAAAAACCTGAAAAAAAAAAATTTCTGGTGAAGAGCTATTTTTTTTTGCATGCAATTAGTATGTTGCATAAATTTCACAAGTTTATCTTATGCCATTACATACAATATTGACATAAATACTTTTGGTGATAAAGGTTGCAGAAAATATATTTTATTACGACTTACCTGTGCGACTCCGGCAAAGAATTCAGAAATGAGAGCCACAGAATACAATTGATTGTTTGTCGTTGAAACCACAGTTAACATAGCGCCGATTGCAGATAGAGCTTAAGGTATATATGAAAATATATAATAAATATTTTGAAATGTTGTTAAGATTAGTATTCTATAATTATTTGATCCAACGATCTGGCTTACATAAATCAGTTCTAATCAAAATTTTCTTCGCATAAATCTTTGTTTAGTTGCTTTCACGTATTCCAAATTTACTTACCTGCCGCGCTTATAACCGTGAAACGCAAACCTTTCTTCATAATCAGCCAAATAACAGGAAAACCAAGTATGACAAATGATATGTAGTAGGTTTGCGTCAAAAGATCCCCGAGAATTGGTAAAATCTATAATCAAAAAGGTTCAAGTTAGCGCATTAATTCATTCCCCTGAAGTCCTAGACGCTGTTTATTGTGATACTAAAAAAGTACCCATCTTCAAGAACAATTTGAAATATAAAATTTTTTTATTCGTACGCAACATATAGACATTATAGAAAACGGCTATATATACTTATTTCTCTATTTAGAACCCAGCTTCCCGTAAACTGAATATATACTCCGGATAAACTCAATTTTTCAAGTTAAAAATAATGTTATTATTCTTACAGGTAAAAGACTATGTAGAAATTTTACAATAACAAAAGTTAACGCAGGTCAGTAAAGTTCAATGAATCTTATGTCGTTGCAGGCACTTATGCAACGTTTCTTCCAGGCTACCATTTCTCGGACTCGGTTTGTGACTCAAAGCAGCGGCGACCTTAATTAATAGACTTGAATGCATCGACAGCATTCGCAACTCGCGGTTTAGACTATGTTAGGACAAATTCCTAAAATAGAGGATGATATATTTATACATATACGGTGGGTTAATAATAAACTTATATAATGAACAACCTGTGTAGAAAAAACCTTGTTAAATTGAAATAATATTGTTTTGTATACAGTATTATGCTCTAGTCAGTGGTTCCCAACCTTTCTATCCTGGCGGACCGGTAAAATTGAATTTAATTTACTCGCGGACCGGCAAAGAATTGAAATGACCGTTACAGATAATATATTGCAATGTCGGGCTCTCAATATGATTCTAGACTAAAAAGGCACACTTAAAAACATTTCACACGAAGAAAAATTGTCAAGTAACGTGTTGGCCAAAAATTGAAATGGGTGAAACATAAAATAATAACATTTATTTTCGTAATAAAATGCAGTACTGGGCACCCATTATGCGTAAGGAAGGCACGCAGAAAATACCTCACATAAAAACATGTACATGCCAAATCATGTATAAACACAATTAACTCTAGTGAGAATTATGCTGCTGTTTCGTTTCCGATATAGGATTGCAAACGAGGCCTCAAATGAGTTTCTGCAACACGTTGCTCAGCAGCGGCGATTTCTTTGCTTCGTTTCAATTGAAGTTAGAGATGAAAATGTTTATTTTCGCAAAACGCAGTAACTGGTTGAAAACACGGACAACAGTTTGATTGCTTGATAACATAGCGATGGGTATTCGTTATAAAGAGATATCCAAATTTGAGTCAGTTATTCTTTCTTAATCTGGACTGCAAAGTAGTGCGCGTCTCGTGACCACATGTTGTGTCGCAACAAATTTATATCTTACTGGAATATTATACTGTTCTTGACTGTATTCTGATTTGAACAAAGGAAAATATACATAACGTTTTATAGGATGATCATACTCATCAGGAAAAATGCGCAGAACAGGAAAGCACGCTTGCCGATTTCTAGGTTTCTGAAACTTGCGAGATTTGATAGAGCGCATTTGCGATGAATCGGAGCCGAAAAAGAAAAATGTGTCATTACTCGGCGTCAGGATGTCGCTATATGACGGCGGAAGAGAAATCGCGTAACAAACCAACGCAACCTCTTCTTCGGTAGTGCGATTGAGACGGCATAAAAACAACGAAATTTCTCGCGGACCGACAAAAAAGCTCCGGGAACCACCGGTAGGATAGAAGCATTAAACGTTAAGATTAAAATCAAATCGAGAACTTAGAGCGTTTGAAATTCGTCATTTCTAATTGCTAAACATGGACTAATCATCCATTCCAACTGTGTTTTACATGAATTTAAAGTTCACGTTACATGACCATTATTTGGGTAAAGATTTCAAAGTGTACATTTACTTTGTGTGTATTTGAATGTGTATTCAACTATAGTTGAATTGTTTAACTTCAGTACGTATAATATCACAAAACATAACCTTATAATATTTCACTATTTGTGGTTCAAATCCAGCAAATTGTAAATTCTGGAAACCGTTAATTAGAGCAACAGCAGAACCAAGAATGAGTGCGATCCATCGCTGTGATGACACGACAATATGCCTGTAAGAAACCAAGAAATATAGGTGAAACATTTATCTGATTTTATTTATTTAAGTTTCCCAGTAGTTGACTACTTGACTCAGAATTAGTAACAAAAGTAATTTTAGACACTCATCTGGACCTACTAAACAACAATCCTAATATAGAAAATGATTACAGCTCTCTATACTTTGAACAATTATCATTCGGGTTTATTTGTTGAAGGCGCTCAATTTATAATATCTATTGGTACTAAGATAGTGGAATTAGAGAAGACAAGACCCATACATTTACCACTCAATTGTCGCATTATGTGTTAGATGTTTTTATAAAAACATAATGACTCGGAAATATTTTTAACATATGTATTTTATTTACAGGTATATAAATATGAATTCAAAAATGCATGTATGCCAAAAGACTATAGAATGTCTGACATTTACTGTTTCATTATTTGAGCTTCCTATAGCTTTATTGGTCTGAAAAGTATTGAAATAAAAATCTGATATGGGAAGTAAGTTGATATGACAATATTTATATAGCCAAACATTTAGCTTTTCCCATTTAGAATTGATTTTAGGTATTGCTATTTGTCAAGAATCTGACATAAGAATATATGTTCACTTAAGCATATAACTGAGCAATAAATCCAAATCGTAAATGAAGGTACAGATTGAACATATCCAAAATCAGAAATACTTTGTATTAATCAGGTTTTGTTCTTGTGAAAGAAAAATCAGATTTGCATGGTTCTTCCAAAAAAAAGTATGATTCGTTGATTTAAAAATAAGGTTATATAATCTTTACTATTTTTCTAATTCAATTACCTTGAAAGTATGGTATTGTACAAATTGAAATATTATCCGGTTTTGTTAATTTAATATTTACTTACGATCGTCCGCTACGATTGCTCAGGAGTCTTTGTCTTTCTTCATTATTTTCATCGTCAAACGCAAGATTTTCATTTGGTGTTATTTGATCCATATTTATATATATCCAACTTTAATATATATACTTAAAATAAAGCAAATAAACTTTAGTATTGCTGCCAACTCTAGAAGCACTCCGCAACTACATCAACTGTATTTTCTCTTCTTATTTTCAAGGATTTGCTAAAAAAATAAAAAACAACAATCTAAAGGGCGAGGTCACGAGCAAGCACCAAGAAGACGGAGCTACTAATGTATATAGCAACACGAATGCTCTGAATATACGTCGCAGTAATACAGATATATATTTCTTCGTAAGGCAAAATATTTTAAATTTTGACAAATCAATCATAACATAACTCTTAACATACATGACAGATGAAAATACAAGAAAATAAACACATAATGACGCGGCCACGCATGACCAAGTCTGCTCGATAACAGGAAGTTCTTTGCTTTTTAGGAACACTCTGGGAAAAGACTTTTGTTGAAACGGAAGTCGGAGGAAGCAATGTCTCAACGGTAAATTTTCCCAGACTAAGTTATTCCTCCTGTATCCTAGGTTGACTGTGCGTGGAATGATAGAAACCGGATGATCGACGCAAAAAATTCCTTCTGAAATATTTTGCAATAAATTCTTGATGCTATCACCAACTTTCTCCAAAAATAATAAATATACTATGATACCAAAGGCATTGCTTATCTCATTTGAATAAATGTTCTCATTTGAAACTGACAACCTCATACATAAAAATTTTTATGGTATATTGTTGTTAAATATAAATTTGTTAATATATTATTTCAACAGTAGCTAATGTTAAACAAAAATTGCTATTCTTAGCTTTATTGACCTGTAAGTGAAGCTAACGAATTATTGAGGTTCATATACTACTTAACCTTTGATTGTTTCTCGTATCCCTACGTTGTATTTGAAATTAGCTGTCTAAAACTTCCATTTGAAGATATGAAACGGGGTGTCGCTAAATACTGAATATATACAAATTATAACAAAGATAATGACGTCTGTAAGATATAAATTCATGGTGCGAAATCTCACACTTTTGTTTGTTAGTTCCGTCAATGTTTGAATTTCAAATTCCAATACAAGATACAGGTTGCTAATCGCCAATACATCCATTCGTTGAAACGCGTACGCGACGTCATGTTGATATACCAGGCTACGTTGACGTCCGAATTGCAGATGATAAAATTTAATCAATAAAAATATTTTTTTTGCTATTCATACAATTGCATATATTTGGTTCAATTAATAGCTATGTGGTATTCAAATTCACGCACTCTAGTAGGCAATATATATACACTGGACCGCAGTTATTTAAAATCCTATTCACTGGGGAAAATTGATAGTGGCACTAACAAACAAATTTAAATAATATACCATATGGTTAACAAAGTACAAGTGTTGATTTTTTGTAATTTTGTGGTGATTTGTGTCTTAAATCCCGCAACGCGTTATACAGAGTGTCTCAAAATAAGTATACACTTCAAAACTTGTATAACAATCGAATGGTATATTCAAATTTGCTAAAAGTTTACAAAAATATTCTATATAAACTATTAAAAACAGATTATCATCTTAATATTTTGTTAAATTTATTTATTGACAGAGTATTAGACCTCAACGTGGAAACCACCAATTTCGAGACATTTTAGCCACTTTTTGACGCATTTTTGTCCGATACTTTGCAATGAATCTTGTTTAACTAGTCCACATGTTGCTGTAATTTTTTGTTCCAACTCTTCAAGGTTTTGATGTCGTGTGGAGTAAACTTTACTCTTAAGAAAAAAAAGTCCCATGGGGTCAAGTCATGTGAACGTGCGGCTAATTTCAGAAGACCTCTGCGCCCGATCCACCTATCGAAAAAAAATGATTTAAATAATCTCTGACTTTCCTGGCAAAATGAACATGAGCTTCATCTTGCTGAAAGTAAAAGTTTTCAAACGAAGCAATATTTATCAGCTCTGGTAGGAAAAAGTTTTTTCAGATAGTTTTTTCCTTTGACAATTGTGGTTCTTCTGGCATCATCACAAAAAAATAAGGGCCTATGAAGTCTTCAACGGAAATTGCACACCACACAACAAGCTTCGGTAAATCACGCTTTTCTTCTCGATAATCTTGGGATTTTCTTTCCCCCATATTCTAGTGTTGTGTCTTTTCCAGAAAAATAAAAAAACAGCTTCATCGCTGAACCAAAAATTGTCAAGGTTGGATCGTTTTCGTAGTGATAAAGCAGCGTTTCACACTCTTCTATCCCACGGTCATTATCTTCTTCCTCAAGTTTGTGTACAGTTTGAAACTTGTAAAGAAACGCTTTAATATCTTTGCGTAACATTCGTTGAATAGATGATCGGCTGATCTCTAGTTCCACTGCTGCCTTTCCTTGACTCAATGCATATGCCTCTACTAAAACCCGAAGGTTTTTCTCTCGTCATCCGATCTTCAGTCTTTCTGATCTTTGTGCATCAATTTTTAGATCCATTTTCTATATATTTACGATGATTGCATAAGTTGTTCGTTGTGTAGAAGCCTAATTACTTTCAAATTTTTTTTAAAGAGGCGCCGAGTTTGGCTTACTGATTTATATGCTTTTTGCCAAACAGCAATTTAGAACCTCATTTCTTGGGGTAATATCCTTGTCATTCTGCGATTTGATGAAAAATGCACACAATACCTAAATTTTACTACTTATTCATACTATGTTTTCTGAAGAAATGAACGCTCTACCTGTAAAGCAAATCAAAATTAAAAGTGTATACTTACTTTTGAGACATCCTGCACAGCCATGACACGTGACCCTGCTTATGTATACTGTTTGTCCTTTAAAAACATGGTGTTTTGATTTGAAAGTCATGTTTTTTTTTGGCTTGACTTTTCAGCTTATGAAAGCTTAGTTCACAAGCTTGTTTATTGGACGCGAAATGTACATATGGGACGTTCTGTCATGATGTTGTTGTTGTTCTCGATCTTCAATTACTCGACCAATTGCTTAGAAATTTTCACAGATTAAAGATTGTTACAGATATTTTATCTAACAATTCCGCTGCTTTATTTTTATTCGCATTAACTCGTTTTTATGACAACCTGGCGGCTGTAACATGTGGTCCTCAGATTTCATTCATTGGATTTGGTGTCCATATATTTGAGCACCGTTCTTTTGTTTATTTATTGGACACGAAGTATACATAAGGATCGTTTTGCTATTATGTTGTTCTTGTTAGTCATTTCTTTTTGTGAAAAACTCGCTTTTTTCATTTCCCATTAACTCATCACGTCCAATTGCCTTTAAATTTATAGTGGATTGTTGTTAAAGATTGTTGTTGTCGTTAGAAGGCATTTACTCTAATTTATTTCAAACAAATTTGCAAGCTCCGTATGTGCGTTAATTTCACGACCAGGCACAGTTTTGCCGGTATCTTAGTGTAGTCTCACGTGCTGTCAGCCCATTTTTGCTGCCAGTGGTTTTTATGCACGAAAATTGAATTACACATAGATAATTTTTTCTATGGTTTAGTTGTTCATAACATTTTCGTTCATTCTAGGCTTGCCTTGCCACAGTCCGTCATCATGCAAGTGAAATTCTAGTCCATGGCTTAGTTTTTCATGAAATTTTCCGTCCACAAGGAAACAAAGCTACTCGTTGATAGATAAAATTTTAAAATCATAAGCTTTTCTTGGACCAAGTATTTGCCTAAAAATTTGCCTGACGAGCTCGTAATTCTTTTATGTTACTTTGTAACTTTAATCACTTCTTCGTGTAAAGTTGAATTCTCCGTACGATGAGTTCAAAAATTATCGTTGAGTTGAACAATTATATATTCATTAAATACTATGAATACTGCTATCATCCAAATTACTTCAACGTGAAGTTAAACATGTGCATTCGTATTTACAGTAGATGGTGTCCCAGCGCACTAAAGTTCATTTCTCAATGATATGGGTGATGCCATTGATCATTATTCATTTATTTCGTCTTATTAAAAGGTTCCAAAATACACTTATCTTTACAAGTGGTCTTTTAAAATTTTTTCCAAAGTTACACGCCGGCACCATGTATATCCATATTAATCTCACACATTACACATGTGTGATCGTGCACATCACTAAATGTGAGGAAAATAAAAACAAAATCGTTCGAGTAATGGCAGTAATGGTGCAATTTATATTTGTTTTTCTCCTTTGGCCATAGATAGCAATAATAATGAGCCGTGGCCATTTAAACGATATGTCTGGCAGACGTCATATATGCCATAATTTCTCTGAATTATATGTGAAATTATTCCTTTTCCCCTAAATGTTTTGCCCCAGGCAATGATATTCTACATCACTATCAGAAAACTTACCAAAATGCTGGAAGAAACCAAAAGATAGACTAGGTTAGATAAGAGCCATTTCGACAAAGAATAGATATTACACTTAGAATGATGACACATTCTTCCAAAGATTAGTAAGCTTTCTTTAAAATCAATAATTAGTTTATGGGCCACATTAAGAAGACCTATCTCAAAGTGTACAATTTGCTAAGAAGGTAATTATTTTATCGTTCATCAAGAATATTGATGCGAAATGCGCAGATTGTCAGGTGGCAAGTATAGTCCAAAGCAGAAAATTTTAGTTATATACATTAAGTTTTACCCATCTGACAATTTGGAATTTAGCGGAAAGACGTCTGTCTATACGTCACATACGTATCATAAATTCGGCTAGCAGTCCCTAGAATATATATATTAGTCTTTGATACATACTGTGCAATGTTCTTTCTGAGCGGGACATAGGTTTTAATACAAGAAAATCATTAGTTTTAAAACATATAATGAAGTAATAGTCTTCCAATCAAGTTTGGCGGAGTATCTAGAATTCTAGAGTATATGCATCATCCAAAATTTATTTGCTGAATTTATAATTATAAGATTCAACGAACTAGATGATTGATATAGATTGCCATCATGGCTAGGCTATCTCATGGGAATATTTACGCTTAAACATCTACATTTATTTTTAATTAAATAATAATGTCCTTTTTTATACCAATATGACGTTCTTACGTGGTCCACATCTGTCCGCAGTATGAACTTCATGTCACGGCGGAATTCCCAGTGGTCACCCCTGATAGGAGATTTTGTATAATACTCTTCAGAGTCATCAAAAATTTGAATTCAAATTGAATTTAAAAGAAACAAAACGCAAAGATAAATATAGGCCTATAATACTTCATTGAGAAAGGGGGATAATGCCGCAAATTTGAATATAAATTCAATATTAAGGTAAATTATTTCCTAGAACTCGAATATGCTTGTGTAGTACTGATATTCGAGGTACATATTTTGCTTATTTATGTTGCATATTAATTTTAACTTAGCCCGGCAAGGCCTAGCAATTATTGGAATATGTTGACATAACCTAAATATAGATTAACATGATGTTGCTGTTTGTACGCGCAATTAGAATGAGGTAATAAGATATCAGGTTTTTTGAATGCTGTAAGAGAGTGTTTTCAAACAGTTATGTTTGTTTAAATATTGCTATATGTCGGAACTTTTTAATCTCAAATCTCTATTGTTTTCACAATTTCATCGAATTTATGTTCTTTTATGTTAGAGTAACAAGACATCAAATTCGTAAATCATAAAGAAACGTAAGTTGAAAGGCATTAGGTATATTGTACACTACTTCTGAACCCCGGTGGAAATACCACTTATTTTTAAATGAAATATGAAAAAAATTTCCAGCAAGACTTTTACTTTGGTTTTAGGTACGCTTGATTCAAAGATTCAAATATTATAAATTTAACCAATAAAATTCGATAAATTTTAAGTCAATAATTCTCTTCCCCCTGCGTTTAAAGCTCTAGCCTGTTTGCATATCTATTACCTTCCTGTTGTCCCACCCTGTTATTAAAAACGAGGATGGGGTTCAGATCATTTGTTTGCGCAACTCAAGACAAACTAAATATTACAATATTCAATAATAAATATTATACCTACATAGAATAATTGTAAATTCAAAAATCCCAAGCTTATCACTTTTTCCTTCATGGTACCAGTTTCGTCGTATTGATAAACTTCCAAGGTCGTTGGTAGACTACCCTGCAGCTAATATAATTTACATAGATATTATGGTCACAAGTTCAAGTTTATTTAGCAATTATGATATCGGGTTCGGAAAAATATTTTCAGAGATCTCTTCATGTTGCCGATTGCGTACATGACATAAGGTTAACGGTTTCGAATTCCCTTTTTATGAAAATTTACTACCTGGAATCAAGAACATGTTTGTATTTCGAATCCTCAGTTATATAAGTTAATTACTTGAAATGTTCGGTTTGAAATTTTTCGCAATGCATTTTCGTATTTATAGAAGGGTCCACAAACATTTTTATTGAGCTATATATTTTAGACACAATTCATTAATAGGCCTCACGTGAATTGCGATAAAATTACGAACCTTGCTTTGCAATTCATGAATCGTCAGTTGATTTACAATACCAATATAAATCGCTGTGACGTATTGTGTAAAATGTTGTCGAAATATTTGCACAGGACACGCTGTTGCGTAAGGAATGCTTTTACCGATAGCAACGGATCAAATCTTCACGGAATGAACTAACGTGACGTGACCTACTGAAGAGGGATCTATTGCCCCCAGAAGAACAGTTCAGTTTTAAAAATGTGTGCTGACCGTTATAGGAATGACGAGCAATTCAAAAAATTTCGCTTAGATTAGTTCGGCACGAATAACTGTTGGCTCAAAGCACATTTGATTCTTGCGCTTATCGGGGCCAAGTTATAGACTTTATTATGGCATTATGCGGTCGAAAGTCTATCAAATATGAGTCAAACAGTTCTGTAGAATAGCTGTACCTAACACAATGCTGAACTATTAGGGCAAATCTGCAGATCGAAAGCAAACTAATAAATATATTGTTGTGATTCATGTATAATATTATATAGATGTACCTTCAATACCTAGCTGTTTCCGTTCACTACGATTTATTCTGGTTTACTTCAAATGTCTACGCATCCCGCTATATTCTCTCAAATCCATATTGTTTACTCTCTGGCTGTGTGAGAATGTTTTCTTACCGTATAAGCCGTAAAACGTTGTGACTGGCTCTGTTGACATAGTATTCTGCGAGATTGGTAAATGGCTGTTAAATGATGGTTCGAGATTTCGGTACTGGAATTCATAGCTCTGAATACTATTTACTGCTGAAGATGTGGACTGCGCTAGGCTACATTAGCCAAAATAAATGAGGATGCTTTTATATCTTTAGCGTATGTGACCTAATTCTCGATTACAAGCTAGCTAAGATACATAGTCAGTACGCTGTGATAATAAATAATGTTAACCAGAATAATATCTAGAATAAAATGATTTATTGGACTCAATTTCCTATAATATAATGCTGTAACTACTATTAACGTGAGGCAGCTTATATTATTTGATGCAGTCGCGATCGTATGTTTTCAAAATGTTATGTTTTTTTTTCGACAAATGTTGTTTATGGGACTGAATGGGGCTCTGATAATGTTTGCACCAGTTCAAAAGCTCAACCGTAATCTATTATTGTGTATTTTCTTAATTTGTATATGTAATTGGATAATGCTCGGTTTAGCGGTGTTTGGGGATTAGCAAAGCTTTTTCTAGACTGGTGCTTATTTCAACAATGGAAATAGAAAAATGAGTCCAAGCGGCCGATTCGGTTTATTTTGATTTCGCAGGTCGGTTACAAATGTAAGGTGGTTGTATGAGATTTGGACATGGTCTATGCTTCATCAAATATATTTATATGGTCATCGTTACTATCCAACGCAACGTTAACATTTTATTAACAGTCTTAGGTTCATCGATGATTTTAAAAATGTTGTACGACATAATACATTTACGAAGCCCCGTTTACTATGCAACAACCGAACAAATGGCGGAATTTTGATGACTAAAATGTATCAATATTTTACAGTTAAATATTTCGTAAGCACACCTCACAACATTTGCGGACAAGCATTGTCTAAAGATGTAGTTTTATAGCGATACCGTGACAACACTGGTTTTTATAGTTAACCTAGATGTAAACACGCACGCGAATGAAAAATGTAAGCACTCACCTGTACGAGGAAGTGCCCGCTTAATGCGTTCACTGACCCGTCGAGTAAACCGATCCATTTTTTACATCAAAACAGGTAGAATGCGAGGTACGGTACGGGCGATAACCATCTGCGCGTAGAAACCATTGGTCTCTAGTTACTTTATTTAAAATACGATAAATAATGCAGAAATCTGCGAGTTCGCAATGTGCTATACGAAAATAGCGGCTGTGGATCGAGGGTTTTAAATTGGGTGCGTTAGTAGTGTCAGAATATTAAATTGATTGACAATATGTATGATAACAACACATGTAAATAATTTACTACATTTTTCTGAGTTTCAAACATAACTGGAAAGTGGGGAATACCAAAATAGCTACAATCATGCATGCCTCGCGTCATTACCTTGAGTCATTTCTTCATTCTTGACGTTTTTGCTATATTTTTATGGTTATAATGCATATATTTGTGAAGCCTTTCTGTCAAATTCTTTCACTCCGTTTCGTACTTTTCATTCGTAATTATCGGGTGCAGAACATATAATTATGGCGAAACAAAGACGGCAATCATGAAGGCTTTCTTCGCTTATGTCTGTCGCATTCCGCGTTATCTTTTGATAGGCCATAAATTGGCACAATGCTTCGCGTTTCATATTTCAGAATGGTATAGCATTTGACTATGTTATGTTAGTTTAATAAACAGGATTAGGGAATGGCATTTTCGTTTACTACAATATAGTTACTATATGCATATCGTTATTAGAATTCACCTACATATTTCGCGGTATCGTGTATGAGTTGTTTAATATTCTATATGTTTTGAGACAAATAGTAGTTTCCAACTTTTGGAAATAACCAGTTTCTCAGTAAAGCATGCACCGCATTCAAGCGAACTCAATTTACCGACTTTGGCTATCATCCGTGTGGAGATATCCGATTACATTTCAAGGGAAAATAATATGCCGGACACTCGTATGCGTCGAGTGAAATTCTCCTTTTCATTTTCTGATTCTAAAAGTATAATAGACATTTTTGTTCAGTCATTGACGAAAGTAGTTTGATATTGACAGGTCAGATTTTAGCACGAGTTAGAGCTTAGTGGAGACTGCCTTGACTTTGTGTCATTATTTTTCACTACTCGCCTTCGCAACCGCTACTGAATATGAATCTCATATGTGGCGCGTAGCCAATAGGGTTGCGAATTCGTAATTGCGTTTTGGCCACAGCCGATGAGTCGTGAATGCCAGTGCCAAAGCATTTATACATCTATCTTGATTAATGGTCTAGTTCAACTCGATACATTATCTGATCTCAATTTGGTCATCTGTCAGCTGTATCACAGAATGTTCAATTCCAAAGCAAATGTATTGATTTGTACAGAGGTAATTGAATTATTTATGTTGATGTAATGCAATTTTGCTTGCATGACCAACATATGTGACCCGATATTTATCCGATATTTTCGCCGTTTTTTATATAATGGAAATGCAATAAAACGTCATATGTTCTTGGAATCGGAAATTGTAATTTCCGCTTCTTCGGCAACTACATGCGAAACATATGGTTTACGACACTTTTTTGTCGTTGCTAATTAAGGGAAATTTGCGGCCTGATTGCAGTAATTAATATACATAGTCATGCTCCTGCGGAAGCCATTAGTAAATGAACAGTAACTATAATTGATAAACGAGTTATTTGATAAATAATTGTTGGTAAATGATTTGTTTTGATAGCTAATGAACGACTTGCGTAATTATGAAATAGTTTAAATATTCCATTCCAATAGGTTATTACTTATATTCATAAGCGTACACCATAGTTGCCATTAGATCATCTGCATGTATGATTGTTTTGAGTTTTCATTGATTAATTTAGTATAAGTACAATGGAGTTTTGGGGCTGTCAATGTTGCAATATACAACTTAAAGTGTTTGGCATGGCTCAGAACGTTTGAAAATTAGCCAAGAACGGAACTGGTTGAATGAATGGCATCGAGTCATTGGAGTTTCTGCGCGTTCATGACTGATACCGTGCTGGTTACTTATGGAAAGCAGTGTTGCATAATATAAGTGAACTCAAAATGAACCCTCGCGATTAAGAAGGCGCCTCATTGGTGGCATTCCCAATTGTTAGTCATCAGAGTTTCGATGTTGCCTTCCATTAAAGACTAAACGAGGTCGTGAATTATTTATTCGAAAAATGTTTAGAGTTCTATCTCTACAATATATTTCATCCTGGCAATTATTTTACTGTTTTGTTTGTTTTTAATTGTTCAATTATTTTGTTTATTTGCATCACTGGCTTCGGTAAATTTCACTTCATGGCTGTCACCCAAGCGTGATGGATTGTTTTTCCTCGTGGTGCATTCTAATAATTTTAATTAGGTTTGTGGTCTCTGCGCCCCATGCTGGGCTTATGTTCCAAAGACCGCACAAATTACAAAACATTACGTCGACTGAAAAAATATCCCTTTCTCTCGAACACGTCAGAAATATAGTCGCTGGCACGAGACGAGCTGTTTGTTTACTTAGGTTGAAGATAAGGTGCCGATCGCTAAATATGAGTTTCTCTGTGTCGTAGAAAAGCTAACAAGTGTGGAAAAGTGTGGTGGTCAGGTAGAACTACAGTTAGACTCTTCAATTTATCTATTTGTTTTTGAGAAAAGTTAGCATTACTTTACGCTCAATAATATTAAGATTTTTGTCGTAAATTTCAATCTGTTGATTCATTTTAGGTTATCCAAAATTTTTGTAAACAAATACAAAAAAAATGAAATACTGAAATGAGATATAAAACTAAGAGAGTGCAGCTGAGTTCAATGTACAATAACCTAAATCTTTATAGGAAATCAATTAGCAAAGATATATCGATCTTTATATCGGATCAAACAAGGAGTACACAGCTTGATGGCGCCAGGCAAGTGAAACGCCAAGATCAAGAATACATGCAGATACAACATGCTATGCATTCTGGCAACATGTCCGATAAACTGAATCAAAAATGGATATATCTATGCAAAAATACGCAGGAGGAATGCGGAGTTCATGGGAAAATAAATAGTCGTGAAAAGAATCATATGGAATGGAAACCATTGAGTGTTATCAGACTCTCACAAATGTATCTAACAAGGTGTTTGTTTCGTGGAATATTACATCGAAAGAATAAATACAGATCGAAATTATTTGCCCAAAATGGATTATCAAGTTGGATTACCTTATTCACATTCGTGATATACGTCATTTTGTCTACATCGCCACCAACAGCTGCTGATTACTATTCAGGTGTGTTTATACGTGTATATTTTGACCCCGGAACAGTATTTGGAATGAACCATATTTAAAACCTATTTATGGAGTTGCAGAATCTTTAAAATTGCAACTACAGCTGCATGAAAGTAGACTATTTACTTATTGTACACTAAACCAATCGCAAAATTGGACCATTAATTATTTGCAATTTCACTGAATAGTCCAGATTACTGTAACACAATGCTAAGTCATTAGGAACGAATTGTTTGTTATTAACATTGGAATAAATAGGGCGGAAAACAATATTATTGAATGAGGACATCGTTCGTCAAGGCTCACTTGCCACGGATTATTTCCTCATGACGTTGTTTCAAAATTTAGGAGTATTATATTTATATTTAAAAACGCAGATACGAAAACTTGCATTTCCGTTATTTGCGATTTTTCATAAATTGAAATACAATTTATGTATTTTGGTTCATGAGCCTTATTGCCAATTCAATATTCAATGTTAGATTTTGCGCGCACAAGAAATTCGCGAAAGTATTACACTACTGAATAAATAGGGATTTTTTAATACTCTGTAGTTTTATAGTAAAACTGAAACGCATAATTTGTTATATAAATAAATTCGAATTTAGTACCAAGTTCTGTTCTAGGTCAGCCCTACGAACCTAAATCAAGACACACGACCTCGTAATGGATTTATTGTACAGCGTGAAATTTCTAGTGAACCTCCTCTATGCAATATGTACAATAAGTTTCGGTATTGATGGAATGTTTCCCGCTGCGAAACCGTTGAAAGCTTGGGACTTAATTTTGATCGAGCGATTTCTTCTTGTGAGCAGAAAGTAATTGCTATTTCGCTGAAGTATAGTTTGATGAGCATTATCGTGTAATAGTTTTCTGACATCTTAAAAGCATGACTAAAATTAATGGCATTCCACACACCGATGCGGTGCATTGCCAACCTTGGTCAATTTGGTCAAAACTAAATTCTTTTGGGGTGAAGGGACTTGATATCAGCCGAAGTTTTAGAATAAAAATTTTCAGTACATACTATGTGAAAATGTTTTTGGGTAATAAAGGCACCCCTCAAATTTTCTAGTAAATGAATTTATTTATACAGCCAAGTTCTTGAACATTACATAACGATTTTTGCATGATAAATAATGAAATTTAGCGTCTCATCTTTTTATTTCATCGAATCATTTAGTGGATTGCACCGAGACAGAGTTATTGTAGTATCACAGTAGCGTATCATGGTTCTAATTAACATGGAAATACCATACGTTGACTAATCCGAAAAATAGAATAATCGCTTTTTTTCTGAACTTTGTTCTGTGCGTCACTCGCTTCCGAAACAGCAAACTTCCCACTAGTTGTTGTGGTTGAAATAATACGATTACAGAATCATCGTCATATTATTGTATGAATCATTTCTAGTTGTTTACTTCTCATTGATAGAGAAATACTCTCAGTTGTAACTGTATACAAACCGCTATTGTTTACACCCGGCGTATAGTATGACTCATTCTCTATGGGTGAATGACCGGGAGTAAGAAACGGAAAATATTAGGCAATTTACACACTAGCTTGTACGGGGCATCAAAGATGTGCTAGTATTTATCTTTAGTTTTTAGCGATGTTTAAATGGTGAGGATACAATTCTCCTATCTTCTTCATATGGCAAGAAACCTTGTTTGAGTAGATTGACTTTCCATTTTTTAAATTCTGTTAACTGTGTCATTCCGACAGTTACATGTAAATCATGCGTGATTAATCGATAGCCCGTGTAATTGATATCGCTTTAAGTGTGTCATGTCGGCAACTTTGATATTTGTTATCTCCACTGCTTTATCAAGATAAATTTGTTCAGTATTTGATATTCATGGTTAAGGTTATATGAATTAAAACATTTAAATATTTCTTTAAATGTTACCTTTTTGCGTTCGTTTATTGCTAAATGTGCCACAAAAAATGGTTGATTATTAAGTAAATCAAATATCATTTTGAAGATATTTCAAGTCGACCTTTCGATTTTAAGTAGCAACCCTATCCACATGTTAATATCTGAATAAAATATTATCAAATACTCTTTTATTTGATATTTATTCTAAAGGTCGTATTTTCACAGATTACGTCTCAGTTATCATGAAGAATTACAACTCAAGCGCATGCGATGGGGAGTATTTGAGAATTGATTGTCCTACGGGAACATCTATAGATATACAGGTAAATGTTTATAATTGTTAGGATCAGTGATGTATTCTGGATATTCCTAAATATTCCTAAATAACGGTAACAGTACAACGGTTAGATAAAATAAGCTTGTTTTAGGTAATCCAGCAAGACATTTAATACACAAATCCCTATTAGATAGTTACCCTATTGTTTTGCCGCAATAATTTGTTCACAGGTGTATCTTGGCTAAATTACGTGCCTTTGTATGATGTTTGTGGGATTTGAACGTTTTAAAAATGTAAAATTCTCACACAAGTTTCTCACGATTTTCTGTCTCGAGCGTTACCAAAGGGCCTGTTGTCCCTGTTTCAATAGACTATGATCGTTTAAGTAAACACTTCATCATAACCAACCCACTTGCGAGCTATTAAAATGATGTTGAACACAATTTCAAAAGTTTAAACTGGTTATAGACTGGCACTGTTTAGTTTAAAAGTACTCGTTTATTTCAACGTAATTTGGCAATGACTCCGCTGTTTTAATTCTTTGCCTTAGCTCAAATACATCAATTTTAACTTTATATTTTATTTCTGCACCAAAATTGCTGTACACCCAAGCGCCGATAACTACAATTTGGGACGAGAATCATTTTATTTAACTTGCTATTCGCGGTTATGACCATAAGGTGCATATTTCTAGGAGTTGTTTTTAAAATGTGACTTCACTTTTCACCGCATATATTTATATTATAGTGGAACAAGCAAATTTAACTTGCATTCATAATTTTTGACAAAAGTAATTTGGTATTTTTGCAGAAAGCCATGTATGGAAGAAAAGTTCCAAGCAGTGTGATGTGTCCATCTACTACAGAGACTGGATCTGGATCGAGTGAAAAAGTCGACGAAGACACCGATTGTGAAGCGGTAACATCATTTGAGGTGGTTGCTTAAGCGGCGATTCACTTTCTAATATCAAGACTCAATGGTTAATGTAACCAGTACAAATCTTGATATTAAAAAGCATGTATGCTCATGCAGATTGAAACGTGATTGTTAAAGGAATATTACCATCTGCATGTTGTCTCTCTATACATGAGGTTAATACTTTCTTCAGATAACAATTTACCGCAAGAACACCATGTAAAATAAACAACGTATAAAACCACAAACATTAGAAATGTGTGGCGTAACAAATTTAGTACCACGTCCCATAACATGTCGACGACGATTCGAATAATATGATTACATTTATCAAATCTCAATCAAATACAATACCATTCAAACACCATAGCACACTATAATTGGTTTGCAGCATCTCAAATCGAATCACATTCGTATATATAATAATATCACATTAATTTTCTCCGTGATGCACTTTTGACCTGTGACGCAAGTCATAATTTTTGCTGCTTGTCATCTGCTAATTTAAAAATATTACTTCGCTAGCCGTATTTATAAATCAAGTACGATGTGGTTCGAATACCATACCAAACCAAACCATAATCAATTTATAACAGTAACATTGATTTGCCCCGTGATATACATTTCACTTGATTTTTGCTGCTTTTCATCTACTAATTAAAATATTACTCTGTTACCCTCATTTATCAAAAACTTATCAAAAACAACATTCTAAAATTTTATACTTCATTTAAAGTTTGATATCGACTCACACTTTTTCAGAAATTGTACCACTGATCAACCTCGTGGTGGCTAACATGGACCTAAACGCGGTCAATATTTTTTTGAGTGGATACATTTTAATCGCGCCATAGTTAAGTCTGCCTAACTACATTGGTGTTATTAAACCAGGGTACAGTAACGCATGGGCGATTTGACTGACTGATTAAAGTGATTATTACGTTGGTGACTATTAAAAACTGCTTGGCTTAAAATATCATAATTTGGATTTAATGCAATTGGCGTGTACTAGCACAATGCTCTATCGTTAAGATAAATACCCAAATCGGGTTTAGATTTTAAATCCAAGCGGTCGATGTTTAAGTTTTAGTGTTTTGTTCAAATCCTTGCATAAGGCAAATGCCATATGGAATACGCATTATCCAAATTACTTTCGCCATTTTCTTACGGTTTGTATGCGAGTCCGTATGACTCCAAAAACAACTATGTTTCGGCAAACCCAGGTCAGCATTGTTTGAACAGCAAACACTCGAGTTGATAAATTGACGAAATATTATCAGGTATTAACAGAAGTAACGGTCGAATGGAATGTTCAGAAAACGGGGTTAACACTTTCTTCGCTGCAGTATAGGTTGAATAAATAATTTTCCCACATACCCAATGTTAGAATGCGACGTACGTGTAAATATTTTGACCGGTTATTTCAAATATTCGTGTTGTAAATAGTACAGCGTTGTACAAATACAGAATACATAGGTTTTAACCAAAATACATATGTATGATAAGGCTTCGGCAATGATATGCTGCAATTATTGGTCGCAAATATGCATGGCATAGTTTCTCTCTGCTTCAATCTCCGTAACGCTCTTTTTGCTATTAACCTCTGTTAAGCATGGTACATGCGTAAACATTACTATAATACATATTAGCACAAACAATTACATGCAGATATTATTATGTTTATTACATTTATAACATTTAGTACAACACTTACATTTTACCTTTAGAAAACTGGCGCCGAATGCCAAGACAAACGAATTTGCCGATTACTTGTTCATAGAAGAGTATTTGGACAGGATCCATGCCCAGGAACCAGTAAATATCTAACCGTTCATTACAAGTGTGCGCCGAGTAAGTGATGTTGGCCTTGAATTTATTTTTAGATCATAAATATATGGATACAAGCGTTCCATATATATATATATATATATATATACTAAATGCCATGATGGCGAAATATTTTTAGCAGAATCAAAACGGTAAAAGATTGACCGTGAAATCAAAGATCTGCTAATGGTTGCAATCAATGGGAGTGACATTTTGACCTCAATAGATTCGCAATGAACGAAACCTCCAAGTGGAATTTATAAACTGACCGAACATATACTTACACATGAAGATCTTTTAGTTTATGTTTTGTCGCGAAATTAACCCAATTGATTTGAACGGTTATCCAAATACTGCCAAAAAGTTATGAGCACTCCCTAGTTTTTTGTAAAATATCATTAATATATCTTTTTATAATTATTTCATTATTTTTACAGAGGATTTTCACGAGTTGTCTACATGCTCTCGACAAACCGTCAAGCTGAGATGCAGATTAGATACTGTTATATCTATTTTTGATGTGATTCCATCCGACAGAAATAAGTGTTCAAAGGCCATCAACAAAACCAGTATGTAGATTTGAATCATATATTGTATTAATCTCTATATCTTGCGTTTCACATAGTTCCAAATTTTCGAGTTTTCCTATGGTGATTAAGCACGGATCGAATTTCGCGAAGGTAAATCTACAATTATAAAAACATGGCTCGACTAAGCTGTCTGGATAGAATTTATAATCTATTTCGTTGGAATGACCTTTTATTTTTTTTCATTACCTTGTTCAGCTGAAGTTATTTCCCTGTTAAGCTGGAATTATGTTTAGCACATCCCCCGCCTTCCCAATGTGTTATCGAATTTAGCAGCATTTGCTGAAATGAAGAATTCGATTTGTAAAACTTCTCAGTTCTCTGTTCAGTGGCTATTGCTTGCCTATCACCACGTTCGCCTATTTTTAAATAATGTAACCTAGGCTAAAGAGTCGCAATTAAGATTTAGGTCTTAAATTTGAATTGAACGTGATTCTTGTCACGTATTTCAAATACCACTTGAAATTTTGCTGCACCAACAGAGATAGTTTTTATCTTATGGCAATATTAAGTGCTTACCCTGCTCAATAATAAACTCTTCAAAATATACCTCTAACCGCTATGCCAATAAAAAGGTTAACAACAGACCACCAAAGGTGAATAGTTATTTGATAACGTTCTCACATGTTGTTCTAGTATTCTAAGAACCGATCAGACGTGTGGTTAAGTATAAAAACAAAATTCAACAGAATACTGCAAGATATGAAGGGCATCTTATACTTCGCCTGTAAACTATTTTTCTGACTTTTTTTCTAATTTATCTTGTTGTTCGTAAAGCTACTGATAACTATGTCAAGTGTTTTGCATCAGAAGTGTATTTGATTTGCACGATTTAACTCAAATATTACTAAAACTTATTCGGGTGTAAATAATATGACCTCATAACGCTTCTTCATATTTCTTACAGATTGTGTTATGAGAAAGTCGGCCGTTTTAGAAGACGTCACCTTGAACTGTCATTCAAAGGAAAAGTGTTCCTACATGCTGCCAAGTTCATCTTGCTTCAACCATATGAAGATAGTACATACTTGTGGTAAGCAACATGTAGTGAATACATTGTATTGCATTGTATTGTATTGCTTTTATGGTTGATAATTTTGAACTTGACAAAATGGTGAATATACCTGTTGGAAACAAATGAAAACTTTGCATTTTTCGTACATGTGTATTCATTTTTGGGGAATAATTTTTGCGCCATCCCAAATACCAGTATAGAATGTGGTATTTTTATATTTTCTTTGATGATGGACGACACCTGTCACCTTCCTTTTACACTCTCTCTTAACCCCCTCTTAATTCCCCACCATAAGATAACAATGATGATATATAACAAAAACGAATTTTCCTTTTAACGAACACAAATAGAGGATTAGCGACGATATTTGTTGGACAAACAAAATAACGTCATGCTCTAATAAACCTTAAAAGTTGTCTAAGTAATAAGCTAAATATAGGGTTTCGGCAGATTAGAAGTTTGGTATATGTGGAATAGAATAGCAGCTACAAAAACTTCTGCAATGCCCCTGTAAGTACAGTATATGTAAATATGGATAGGAAATAATACTCGTTAACAATGGTTCCAGGGTGTATTTCATACATATTTTATCTAATTTTTTCTATTAAATATTTCAGTTAGATGTTGAATACATGTATTTCATTTTCTCAGTGTCAAAAAAATTGTGGTTTCCTCATGTATTATGATAGTTATAATATTATAAATAGATAATTGTATCCTTTATCTTAACTTGTACACCTGAACATAACATATCAAACCCCATGCAAACCAGCGCATTTACAGTAAAATGAATTAGTAGGTCGGGGCTACTCAACTATTTTTATCGAAGGTCCGAAAACAAAACTTCAAAATTATTTGGGTCCGGTCTTTCCAGAAGTGATATTTCGGCATCCTTAAACGAGCACTTCCTCGACCGACTAATGATTAGTAGCAAATTAAATTTTTTTATTATGGTGTTATAATTCTTTTCGTATATATTCAAAACTATGAAAGTCATTTTATAATAGGAAATTCAAAAAGTGGGGCTAATGATCCAAAATAAATAATTAGGTGCGGTCCAAATCCAATACTCGAAAGGTCCGGATTCGGACCGCGGTCCGCCAGTTGAGTAAGCCCTGTAGTAGGTGATATGCAAAGCCAAAAAATGTTTTGTTGTCCATGAAAACATGGTAGCACTCTGCACTGGTTATTGCCTGTCAAAAATTCGTTTCGGAGCGAAAGTAATTTACATTTTTCCATTGAACTGAGTTGAACTCAACCAGGTCTTGCTTCATATCACGTCAACACTTGATAAATTTTTTAATATAACAGCTATGAAAAATATAACTGGTTCTAGAACTCTTGTTTTTGCGACAAAGAACACAAATAGTTGATTTACATCTGATGTCAATTTTATGAATGGGAACTGGATACGCTCTAAAACGCACGAATGCTCGAAACTATTATTGTCTTCTTTCATATTAATGGATTTGCCGCCTTGAGTTATTTTGGTAACATTTCGGATTTGTGAAGCTTTTTTGAATATTAAAGTGATTTCGTATTTGAAATGGAAATTGTTTTAGAACAAGCATCCAATCTTCAATATTGTAAAACAGATCGCTTTTTATAACTTAATTTAACCCTATAAATTTAGATTGGTGTTTATTCCAATAGGGATTTTTTTCGGGTTGGGACTTTAAATTTTACGTTTATAGTTCAGAACTCGTTCCTTCTGTAATGTTTCACATTTTAGTGAACCCTATACCGAATACAGGGATCAGAAATTTTCATCTATTCCGTTGTTCGACAAGGTATAGCGCTTTCTACGAAGCAAACCATTCAACTGAAGATCGGGGCTATATATTCCCATTCCCTATTTGTTTGGTATGCGTCAATATAGAAAACTGGCGATCAAGTTTTATATGTGTACTGAATACGACTTTGAATTACCAGTACGACTTTCTTAATCTTAAAATATTCAATGCAATTGCTTAAAATACTTTTAAATATCAGTAAATATAGCCTGAAGTACGTAACTCATTGGTATGTCCGGAAAATAAAAGGGAAAACATCCTTGCTTGTGAAACGGAATTTGATACGTTATTTATCTTAAATTGGTTCGGTTTTAGTTTGGAGGGAAAAATAAACAAACAAGAAAATTTAGGTCGGTGTCAAATATCACTTTGAAGCGATAAAACGTAGTAAAAGGACTACGGAAAGATAGGTATAGGTACTAAACCATACCTGGGAGAAAATAATTGAGAGCAACACAACAGAGAATCGCGTGGATACAAGTGAAGGGCAGAAAGGTTACAAATTTGGAACCTTCATTTAAGAATAGTGGGGAAAATTTGAAAATGGAGTGTTGTTGTTTATTGGGTTATTTCCGTTACGTACTCCCACTGTAAAAGTTGACGATTTTGTTTCGTTAAATTGTTTGTTGTTTGTTAATATATGATATCGTGTGAAATTTCAGATGTTATGCAGGTCATCAAATATTTTCTGAAGACGTAACAAATCCTTTTTTAGGAGAAGTTCCAAACAATAGTATTTCTGTTCCCATGTTCTCGCTATGCTTGATATGAAATGTAAAGGAAGGATATATGGACCGTCAGTAACGTACTTGATAACACGTTTGACAACAAACACTCGTATTCACTTAGCCGAAACTATCAGAAAAAAGCTTGATGTTGGATTTTTTAAGTGTTCGTTAGATGTGTGTTACTGCTAATTTGTATGTGATCATATTTATTAGGAGATTGGGGTGTTGGAAGGCAGTTTTGTTGCAATGTTTTTTTTACATTGTTCAATAGGATTTTTGCATGTCAATTTTATTTGTATCGCAACAAGATAGACATCTGGTTGCCGACCATGATTGTAAAACAAGTTCAGAAAACTAATGGCAGGTGCGCAACAACTGCCTAAGATATTCACTACACCTGGCAAGCGTTAATTCATGTTTAAACATATGTTAAAAATTTAGGCAAATAATTTTTTGTACGTCAGTTTGCTTAGCATGTGTTGGACCAATCTGAAAAACTGAAGAATGTCTTATATCTATTTTTTTGGTGAATATGATACGAGGGTGGTCGTTCTAACGAGTTAAAATATTTACCAATTATGATTGAATGAGCTTGTATTTTTACCTCATTCGATTTCGAATGAGCTCAGCTTTATAAAAAAATGGAAGACGACACGACACGACTGGCCATAATTCAAAATTAAGTGTCGGAAAAATCAAAGTCTAATTATATTAATATATAAACATGATGAATGACATCATGAAAATCATCTATTGCTACTATTTCATCATAAATAAAACAAGTCCAGATCAAATAGATATATAGTTACATGACAATCAATACGAGTGACAACAATAGAATATTTTGAAGTTATTCCCATGGCGTTCTGTATCATGTTAGCATGATGGACAGTTGCTAGAACAGGTTTCAGAAGGCGGTTAGCAATAGTGAATATGGGAAGAAAAGTTTTTGTAGAAATTATGATTAATGTAACTCTATTTAATGTAGAAATTCGCACTTTGTGTTATGTACACAATATCAGCAAAATGTATACACGTTGAAGCATTCAATACATGTAAAATATAACTTCTTTCGCCTTCCATATGCAGATCATTATGATTGTTTCTGTGGAATTCTGGGTGGTACTATGTGTTCTTTTTGTATTGTTTGTTTTGCTTGACCACACGTTTCCTTTCACATGGAGAAATATAATCTCACCAATAAAATAGTGTATACCTAAAAGAGAAAATTGTGAATCGACAAATAGTTACGTCAGAAAAAATTTTCGTGTATGATAATTGATAACCAATATTTATCAAAGTTTGGTTTAAAAGTTTTGTTTATTTGAAAATTCCAGTATTTTTTCATTACATGAATGTCTTTAAATATTCTGATACTTTTTAGGTTTACCTTTAGCTTATTTTAAGTTTCCATCAGTGACGACTTTCAAATTGAGTGGAATATAGGTCACTGGGATTTTCTGCAAAAATGTCTTTTGCTGTTTTTAAATTTTTGTTCATAGTTTTAGTTACAGGTGAGTTTTAATATAATTTTGACTTTGGCATTTTTCGAATTTCACTATCATTTATGAGGGTATTCTCAGGCATAAATATATACATAACTAAGTAGACCACAACGCTTGTGTGAAACGATAATCTTATTTATGGTAAAATATGACAAGAGTTCAGATAACGTAACGAGAAATTAGCGTGGGAAACGATAACTTCCTACATGGTGGCGATGATGTACACTATTTTTATACATACTCCCGCTGTATTAATATGTGTTTACCAATAATGATGCCCACTAAATTCGAATTAAATGTTTCAATGGTCATATAAGAATAAAGCGATTTTGCTTGAAAATCAAAATAGTCTGAGTGATCTCATCCTACCGTTAACTCGAATCAGGTACATATTTATCAAGTTCTTAATTGCCAGGTATATCATCAGAGAATAGGTATAGACATGTTTCATTTCATGGCGCGAGATTTCAATCGAAAGTAAACATTTTACGTCGTGAAACACAGGCTGACAAATAGGACTCAAACATCAGTTGGCTCGCAATGCGTGTTGAAAACTTACTGACTAATGAAATATTATCGTTGTACGCAAAATAATATGTCAGTTTCAAGGCTTATTGTATGTTAGTTTTCCGAAATGAGTCGTAAAAACAATCTGAAAGCGGATATTATTTCATTTAATAATAGTGTAATTATGCACAGCATCAATATAGTTTCCAAGTGTGGTTTCCTCGTTTATCGCAAACCATTCGAACGTTTTTTGGAACTCACTCACCGACAATTAAATGTGTCTAAATTACTACCTACACGTAAATCCACCTGTATAACTGAATAGATGAACGTCAAATTTGGAGTTTTAGTTCGACTCTAAGATTGAGACGCAGGAAGTCGAAACAGCCTATTATTTGTCCTAAGTTTGTTTGGTCAACGCATCAGATAAAATAGTCAGTCAGGTAGATTTTGTATGAGAATGGTATTGGTGTAGCTTTAGAGGC